AAAACAAACTGAAAAACACAAATTCTATCATGTGACATCATACTGACACCCACATGGTTCATTGGCCAGATTGGAACTGTTTGAGCTACTGGACAAACCTCTACCACTTGAGCTAAAAGACTAAGTGAAAGCAGTAGTAGGTTGTCATACTGTATGTGGACCATAAAGGGGGGATGAGAGACACTTCACCCTGGGTTTCACAAATATTTGCGGACAGCAGAGGAATGGTGAGACTCAGGAATTTGAGATTCCATTACAGGCTTTGGAGGGGAGTGTGGTCTAGCAAGCACAGACTCTTCTCCTCGTTTTGCTGTCATGGGTACAGATACTTCTGCCTGTTTTGCCCAAGCTTGACCCCTTCCATCCCATACATTCCAACCTGTCTCAGTCCTGTCTCTTTGTCCATGGGCTTTTCCCACCTGAGCTTGCTGTCCGAGTCTTAACTTCCCCTACTACTCCTAATCTCTCCCCCTCCTCACAGCCAGGACCAGTTCTGTCCCCTTACGCTAACTCCCTCTCCCAAGTCTCCTTGCCCAGGCAGTTCTTATACTCTCCTGGCTCCTTGTCCAATCTGTCTTTTCCTTCTCTCCCACTGGCTACACATCCTAATCCACCCCCACTCCTAATTCTCCACCGCATCATAGCTCCTTGTCAGATCTATCACCCCCTTTTCCTTCCCATGATGGATTCCTAGTCCCAGTCTCCTTGTCCGGCCAGACTCGGTCTTCCCACTCGCCCCAGTTTCTCATCCAACTAAGTATCTTTTTTCCCCCACCACCTCCCCCTAGTGCTCCGACTGAACACCTTTAAATATCTCGCCCGTAATGAATATAGCTGCAGATAATGATTCTCAACTTTTTTTCATACCAACACAGCTTTTCCATATCCTCCTGCCCCCACATCTAGCTGGGACTTCCCTGCTCCCACTCCATTTAGTAATATAAAAAGGGCAGAGCGCTCACAACCCCTATGTGAAGAACCTCTGCGGTAGATTAATTAACAGATAAAAACTCGTAGTCCTTAAGTTTTATGACAGAAAATGATATAGCTTTTGTTAATAAAAGAACAGGATTTCTAAACAGCATGATGGTACACAAATTTGGATTAAATACAATAATTAAAACATAGAAAAGGAAAACTAGATATTTCAAAGGAACGAAGGAAAGACTTTTGATCTTTATTAGGAAGTGTTACTGTATTTACCCCATTTTGTTAATTAAGGGAATATGCATTTTATATTAATCTAATTAAAGAAACAGAGCTGGGAAGGAGAAAAAGATGCAGTTGACAAAAATATTTGAACCACCCTAGAAAAATCTATGCATTTTGTTTTTACATTACTGTTTAAAAACTCGAGCAGCCTGATGGTTACTGTACTCAGTTATTTTTGAAGTTCAAGAATGGTGTCTCAACATAAAGTGGACACAGATTTATGTTCTTCTGTTGATGAATGAGAAACAGATATTGATGTTTGCATCAGCAGAAGAACACACTTGTTTGTTCATAATCCAGAAATCCTAACAGGATATTTTGGTTAAGATTATTAATACAAAAACAGGACAAGAATTTAAACCTGTCCTACAGCATAAAAACTGAAACTGCACTTAGCATTTTAGTCTTTAAGGGTATTTAGAAATCTCAGTCATTACAATGACACTGTAAGGCAGTTAAAGCGTGGATTTTTAAAACTACCTTATTTCCATGTGCATTAGTCATGACTGGGTATTCAAAATCATGTATCTGTGTATACAAATGGAAGGTTATGTATGTAACTGGTGATTTGCATGCAGCTTTTACTACATGCAGTTTTGCTGGTCAAGCCACAAATGACTGGCCTAAGGCCTCACAGCAAGTCAGCGTCAGTGCAAAGACTGAATTCAGGAGTTCCTAACTCCCACTTCAGCATTCAGAGCATGCGTTTTTCTTGCATTGAAATGAAATTTGGATAGATTTAACTTCTGCTACTTCATGCAGAATGTGTTTCATACGGGACTCTTAGGGATTAAATGATATATTCCTCTCTCTTATTTACAATTCAAATAAATTTTATTTAGTGTCTTACCCTATCGTTGGGTTGATGTTAGGGTCAAAGCTGTCTTCTACAAATCGCCACACAATACTTGATTTGCCTACACCAGTGTCCTGAAAAAGAACATAGCAGTTACACCAGTGAGAATTTAACTACCAAAAACAGTTGGGCACATTTAGACCCCAATCCGCAATAAGCTCCTCATGGAAAGACTGACCCCAGTTCCTATAGAGAGCATCACTGAAGTCAAAGGGGGTCCAGCCAAGTGGAACAACTCTTAGGATCAGGGTTTTAGTAATCAAAATATTTCAGTGCAGCAAAATTGAAAAACTGAAGGTCCATAAAATAATGTTTATATTGAAAATAGGAGATAGCTCTGTTAAAGATACATTATCCCAAAACAGATATAAAAGAGATTTGATAACTTTGTATAAGACTTTAACAAAAAGCTATAATGTTCATCTCTTGAAACAGATTATTCTGTATGTTCCCCTCCCATCATGCCTCCCACACCAAAAAGTCTGCATAAGTGCTTGGTTTGAATTAGGGATATTCGTACAGATCGAGAAAGAGCTGCTGCTTTATACCTCAACGGTTAAAGTGTACATCTGTAGCTGAATAAGGTAATTAATACGTACAAGTAGATCAAGGGTGTCACACTATTACAAGCATTACAAAACACATTTCAGCCTGAGTCATTCAGTCCCACCCTATTTAATGAAAGTCCTTAAACATCTTCTGAGACATACCTGAAACTAATATTTTTTTTAATCTCACAGCCGCATGGAACAAGAGAGGAGGAAGTCTAATTTTAAGGTGACAAACCACGTTCTAAGCCACACCTTAGAAATTTAACACCAGGTTGTCTGTGTGTTTCAAATAGTAACTATGACAACTCGGGCTTAATAAAAGAAACAAAAAAGGCATGCTTCAAGTTGCATCTACTTGCACCACTAAGTTAAGATGTCTGATTGCTCACATGCCTTGATTCAGGTTTCAGATGGCAATTTAGTTAACATAGCTGAACCACTTCACAATCTTCAGATGATAGAATCAGATAGTTTACCAAACCTAATATTAGGAAATGTTTGAATAAAACAAGAAGCTTGCTTTAATTGAAGCTTGCTTTCTGCAGTGTTTGCAGCCCGGATTTAAAAATTTTATTAAAGCTAACGTTAAAAAATTATATAATACACAGGTTAAGAAAAGAGTTTCTGTACATCTGGGTATAGAGCTTAGATTATCCACATATACCAAGTTTATTTTTAAAGTCATAAGATGCTAATTATGCATTATATGTAATATACTACAGCACTAATTTGTACACAATTTAAGTTTGTGCTAATCCTCTGGAGGGTTCTCGCTTCTTTTTTGGGAGAGGAGAGAGGAATTCAAAAATATGCTACACTTATCACTTACATATTTTAGTGTTTAACAAATAACAATACAAGTCACAGAAAGTTACAAAGAAGAGAAAGGGAGATGAAAGTAAATACGTTTCCTGGCTGAGACATTTAGAAGGGGAAATTTTCTTAGTTGCTCTCTTATTCCCCCTTTTCCCACTCCATAAAGATTTCACAGGTAGAATTTGATGTAAACAAAGGATAACATATTTAGCAAGCAAAATTAGGGAATATATACCAATTTTCCAGGGAAAAGGAACAAGACTATCTAGAACCAGGAAATACATAGTCCGACCTGTCGAATTTCATTTGTTTAGGAGCAGACACAACCCCCATTAGAGCGACTCCAGGAAAAAGCTCCAGTTGACTTCAGTTGGATTTGGTTTGGAGGACCCTTGACTGGGAACACTAATTTTGGAGCTAAGAATTTTTAAAAACTTCCGTCTTTTCACATGAAGATTTTGCGATATACATATATATATATATATATATATATATATATACACATATATATATATATCCAAACAAGATTTAAAGTCTCACCTACATTTGTTTTGAAGTCTCCTTCACCCATTATCTAGTGTTTGGAGAGGGCTTTTGAAGCCTGAAAATGGCATTACGTGTCTGACATCAAACTACATAAATACAAGGGCTAAATATTATTCAAATAACCAAAAGCCTTGGACAGCATAAGGGGGATAGGAGCAGAGCAGTTTCAACACAGGACCATTTTTTAATAGGGGAGCCTTGAAAATAAAAAAGTGTGTGTTATTTTGTGTCTCAAACACAGACAACAAAAATTCTTCCTCGAGAGAAAGGCTTTACTAGCTGTTTACACACAAACAGATGCTGCAGAAATCAACACCTGCACTGGAAAGAGACAAAAATATCTTCTCACCACAGGAAAAACACCGTCACAAACCACCTTCGCTTTAAAGCTGTTTTAAGGGCTCTCATGATCACACATGGCAGAAATCCCCCCCCCCTTACCTTTCAAATGAATCCCTCTATGAGGGAACCCCCCCTCCCCATTCACCAAGACCACCCGGGGGGCCTATACAACAGACACCCCCTTCCTTATCACCCTAGTTACACCCAGCAGGTCACTTACCCCCAGCAAGCAAACTTTCAGCTCCCTCAGAGCCATGGCCAGGGAGGCTGCTGCCTTACAGAGAACCAGAGGCGCAGCCCAGCATCACCATAGCCCCCACCCTGAGCACCCCCGCTGAGGAGCCCTCCTGGGCACAGGCAGCAGGGTCTCCCGAGGACTCCCTGCCACCTCCCCTCCCGTCACTGCTTACAGGTAACCTCCGCTTCTCAGGCGCCACACACCAGACGCCATCTTGGGCAGCCCATACGAGTCACCTGACTACCCCCCCCTCCCTTCAGGGGCACACTTCTTTAAAGGCTGTAATTTTCCTGTCTCCTGGGGCTAGCTGGGCACTTGGGGGGCCACCTGCCTCCCGGGCAGCATTTGTTTATTAAATCTAGGGAGTGGGGGGAGTGGGGGTTGAGCCGGGGTCAGGCAGCGCAGGCAGCTCCGCCCTCTGCCCCCCCCCCATCTCTTTTCCCCATGTCCATTCCAAGATGGCTGGTAAGCAGCTCTCGCTCCTCTCTTCCTGCTCCGTGTGGGGGTGTGCGTGTGTGTTGGGGTGTGCGGGTGACTAACGCCGAACTGCCGTGTAACTTCGTGCGTGCCTCTCTCTTCCTCTGTCTCTTGTCTCTCCAGAGAGCCTTGTGAAACCAACCCCCCGTGTCTCTCTCTTTTGTTTTTGTTTGTAGGGATCCCTTTGTATTTTGTGGATTTGCAGGATGACTTAGATGATTGTGAGTAACGGTTTTTACTTGTTTTACTCATTCACCCACATGCTCCTTTCTGCACCGCCCCCCATCTCCCTCCCCCACGCTTTCACCCAGATTAGGGTGAAAGAAAGAGACGTGTGAGGCTCATTTTACTGATAGGTGAAAGATCAGAGAGGGCTTGGGTTTTCTTATTTAACACACAGACACACAGGCAGTCTTGCATTTTCATGTTGCTGCTGGCAGAGGGGTCTCTAATGGAGTAATTTCTGTGCTTTACGCTAAATTTTTAGGGCTCCTTATGCCACCTAACTGTTGTGATTTGATTTTTTTTTAAATGCTCATTGACCCCGTAAAATCCTTTATTGTAAGACGGGAAAGAGGCGGGGGGCTTTAAAACGCCTTATAAAATGATAGGTTATTTTATTTTAAATGTCTCACTAAAACACACTGCAGAAAGCTGTGGGTACAGGAGGGAATTAACCCTAAATGAAGGAGGCTTGTCAGATCTGGATTCATGGGATGGAGACCTGAATAACGGGAAAAGGGGACAAGTTAATTCAGAACTGTCATAAGCTATGATACTTTGAATGAGAGATGTTTCTAAATTGTTTTTATAATTTTTTGCATGTCTAATTGTAACCCCAAAATGTCAATCTTACCTTATATTATCTGTGTGTGATGAATTTTTTGTTTAGTAAAATGCCTAGCACATATTTGGGTGTTGCAGAAATAATACTTTAAAAACTGAAATGCAGTTAATTGCCAGTGAAGGAGCCTACATTCAGGTCTGTGTTTGTTTATAAAGTTGAAAGATGAAGTGTGCGAGGTAATATCTTTCTCTCTCACCAACAGAAGTTGGTCCAGTAACAAGCTTTCAATCTTATACAGAGCTTTTCTTCATGTCAGGTTTATAAAGTTGACATTAGTTCTGTTGCTTGCAAAGAATGTTTCTAGCAGTTGGCCTAAGACAAGGACTTTTTGTTGTGATAATTTGAATGAGTGAGATTTTTAAATGATTAATTGAAACACACAGGACAACAATTTTTTACAAGGTGGTTATTTGTTTTGCGTTTCTTATGCCATTGTGAGAGTTACAGTGATCCGGAAAAAACGTATGATCACTTTCTGTGATCTAGACTCTGTCTCAAGTGCTAGTGAAGGATATGAGGGAGTTCAATGTTCAACCTGTTACTGTAATACTCTTCCCATCACCCAGTTTTCTACAAACTTCTCACTATCCTACTGAGGTCTGTCTTGATAAGGTTGCAGGTCTCATACATTCTCCTTTTAGCATCTCTCATTGTGACTTTTTAAAAAATGTGATTGTACTACTTTCCAGAACTGCCACTGATTTGTTTGGAAGGAAACTTCACTCATGGATTAATTTTGAGTCTGCTTTTAAAAACATCTCCTCTACTAATAGCAGATTTTTACAGAATGCTTCAATGTGACATTTAAAATCTCCCTCCAAATTGTTTGTACCCTCCCTTATTTAGGCCCTGATTATGCAGTGAGCTCTGCACAGCAGATTCTTGTGTCTATGTAAAGCATTGTTGAAGGATTAGGGCCTCAGGTCCCAATCCTGCAAAGGGATGTGCATGTCAGAAGCTCCATTGTCAATAGGACAACTCACATACTTAAAGTTGAGGACATGCATGTCCTGAGTACATATGTGTTTAGTGGCTTGAGGGCCACAGACTCCTAGAGTGTGTTTACATTGTAATAAAAGATGGTGGTGGGGCTGTGTCAGCTGATTTGGACTTAGGGGGGCTCAGGCTGCGGGGCTATACAATTGCAGTGTAGACATTCGGGTTGGGCTGGAGCCCCGGCTTTGGGACCCCAGTGTGGTACTAACTGGCACTTTGGATGGCAATTTGGGTTTATCATTTGAAAAAAATGGTGAGCTTTTTTAAAGTTGTTGCTTGTGGGACCTGTTCTGTATTGCTTAGACAATCCTGATTTGTGCAGGAGATGGCAGTTCAGAGACTGGGGTATAAAAATTGTCTTAAAGCGAATTGAAAATTATATGGAATCACCCTTTAAAGTGATGAAATTTGGCAGGTCTGGATTTGTAGGGTTATGCTTGTTTTTCCCACTTCAGTTTATACATTTGTCTCTCTGGGATATTGGTTTTAAACAGAGAGACAGAGGGCTATTGCTTGCTAAGTTTGTGCCATGACCTCAAACAACACCAAGTACCTTTGTTGAGCAGAGGATTTAAATTGGGAGCAGATTGGCTAATACACTTCTGTTTGCCCACACTGGATTTGAAAGAAGCTTCTCAAAGCTCAGTACATCCCACCTTAAAGTTCCATTAATAACAAGGGGAGCCAAAGTAGCTGGATCTGCAGTTTAAACCCATTAGTAGAGTTGAAAATCTGTTCTGTTTTGCTTTTCTCTGCCACAATTAAAATAAATAAACAAACCCGCTAATAATCCAACCAGAAAATAGACTATTTATGCCTTGCCAACTAATTCTTCCCCCTTTGATTGGAAAGAGTGAAAGATCTCTGTCTGCCAGCTGAACTCTTCTGTTTTCAGTGCAAGCACAGTACAAGCAACAGTCCAAACCTCCCACGGTGTCCTGCCAATGTGCCTTGACTGACTTGGAGGGTACCATCTCCAGGGGTGAAAGGGCAGATCATTCTCCATGGCCAGTGAGTCCTTGGCTTCTTTGCCAAGGCTATCAGCAGAAGTGGCATTTGTCCTGGTAACTTGACTAAAATAGTTTTATGATTGTAAGCCAACCTTCTGGCTTGGGGGATGAAGCTCAAGTTTGCCTCACCTGAGGATTTTTTTTTAATTATTTTGCAGTTTTGAATCTAGAATGGTGATCCAATAATGGAAAAAGTGTGCTTTGTATATGTCTATTTAATTTTACATCAATCTATATGTACCGCTATCAATTTCAGGTTGATATAGACATAATGCAACATGTTGATTATCACTACTATGTCATGGACAGAGAGAGAAAAATGTCTGACTTGAAGTATTGTTAATGACACCTATTTAGTTTTGAACTAGATCTTGAATTAAAAATGCAGAGTATGAACTGCTCCTAGTTGGTGTGAAAGAGCACCTAGAATTAAGATGCAAAATCTGAGAACTCAGTGTGTTGGCTTGATAGTTTTGTTTTTTTAATTACAAAAGGACCCAGAAGCCCCAATCTAGATCAGTTGTGCTAGGTGCAATTGTGCTAGGTGCTGTGATTAGTCTCAAAGGGCATGTCTACACTGCAGTTGGGAGCTGGCTTCACGCTGCAGGTAGATGGGAGCTTTGCTCGAGCTAATAGCAACATGGGCACGATGGAACGGGTGACCGCTTGGGCTAGCCTAGCCACCTGAGGGCAAACCTACCCAACCCTCTTGTTATGTACTTGGTTGGCTAGCTTGAGCCGCTGCCCATGCCACTGTGACAACACTGCTATTTATAGCTCAGTGGCTCAAACAGAGCTAGCATGTATCTGTCTACCTGCATTGAGAAGCATGCTCCTAGCTGCAGTGTGGACATACCCTAAGGAAAAGGTTATGGAGCATTTTTAAGCAACTCATTGCAGTGAATCACTAACTAAAACTAGATCTATGGTGTCTGAAGGAAAGAAAGCATTAAATGGTGGAGATATTGGTGAGGAGATGTAATGTGCTACAACTGATTTTATTAAAACAATCAAACAAAAAGAGCCAGAAGAGCTCCTGGGAATTATGGAATGGGAAATTTCCCCTAAATTCCAGGGGAGCTGATGGAGAAACTAATTGTGGATAGTGTGATACTGCACTTGAATAAATATTAACTGAGGGTCAAACCAATACTGACTTTGTAAGATACTTTTTAATTCCCCACTGTAAAAGCTGTCAAACCTGTATACAATTATTAAAGAAGATTAATAAAATAATAAATGAAGCTGATTCTGTACCTCCTTTTGTAAGGCTAAAGAAAATATTGGTTAAGAAATGAGGTTTGATGGTGGATTTAAAAACTGAGTAAGTGAGAAGAATGTAGGGAATGACTGCTCTTTGGTCTTTTGAGAGATTAATAGTTCCACAGGGGTGGGTATTGGTATTAATATATTTATTAGTGTTTGGGTGAGGGAAATGGGCGGTGAGATGGTGGCATTTGCTGATGTCATTACATTGTTTGGATAGTAAAACCTATGGCAGGATATTAGATTTAAGTACCTTTGAGACAGTCACATGATATATTAAATTCAACTTCAGTAGTGCGCATTGGCTACACTAGTTAAATTTCTTATACACTGATGGATTCTGAACTTGTCTACTTGATCTTCAAAGTGGGAAAATATGGTAGGCCTCTCAGTGGATAGTTTAATGAAACTGTGAGTCCTGTGTGTGTCAGCAATTGTGAAAGCATATTGGGTGCATTAGAAATAACAGTTCATGATTTTCTGTATTTTCTTTTACACGTGCTTATAATATATCCAGAGTACTGTGTGCACTTTTGATTTCCTCACTTTTGGAAAGAGAGTTGAGATTAACATGGGCCAGAGAAGGTCAGTGAAGATGGTTAGAGCTATGGTGGAATTTATTTTAATGAGTTAAGAGGCTGCTAAAACTAGGATTATTTAACTCTTTACATTCAGTATATAACAAAAGTGGTGTGTTGTGTAGCTGCTCTTCCGGGCCCCGATCTTGCAAACACTTAAGCACGTGCTTAACTTTAGTAATTTGAGTAATCAGTGGAACTACTTAAGATAGTAAAGTGAAGCATGTACATAAATGTTTACAGGCTAGTGCAGTATCACTTTAGAACATAGACCCATGATTGGTTTGTTTATTTGTTGCAATCAGAGTTGCAGGGTATTCTACTGCAATAGTCAATTTTATGAAGGGTATAGGAGCAACTGATCAGTTCCTTCATTTTAATGCTGTTTCCTAATACGAGAACAAAGGGGCACTTGATAAAATTAGTGGCTGATAAATTTAGTATGAATTAAAATAAATATTACTTCACACGAAATGTCGTTAGTTTAAAGAATTCACTGCTGTAGAAATATGTTTAATATGTCTGGATTTAAAAAAACCCAACTTTTATTATCAATAGTATTTCTCATTATACCGGGTCAGACAAGGGTAATCAAATCTCATGCTTCAGTATGTAAACTGATTGTTGCAGAGTCAGGAAGGAACTCTAAGCACCTGACACACAGGGTATAACTTATTCAGAACTTTTAGCGATGTCATCAATGTCTTCTGAAGCATCAGGGTTTGTCTACTGCCAGTTAGGATATTAGACGTGATGGAGCACTAGTCTTATTGAGAAAGGCACATCTTATTATCTTAAACGGATCTGATGTTTGCTGCACTAGCCTGCCGAGTCAGTTTCACCACTTGTCAACTCTTCTTGGGCCTGAGTAATGTTGGTGGGTGGGTGTGGGTTTTTTTTTTGTTTTGTTTTTTTTAATGCAGATACAAATCGTAAACCTGTGGACACTTACCTGTAGGCTGGTATTGTTTCTAAAATAATTAGTAATGCCACCTGCAAGAAGTAGAAATGGCTAGTTAAGTGGAAGTAAATTTTAGTTTCCAGGTTATAGGTCGCCTGTATACAGTACTATATCTCTGTGTGGCTATACTGCCCCTTCAACTGTCATATCTGTAAAAGATAGTTGTGAAGTAGTTGGATGATTTAAATATCAAGAGGAAAAAATACTCAGACCCTTGTTTAAAAAAAATAAAAAAAAAACCCCAATAAATATTAGCATGCCTAGTTATGTGCTTGTGGGTGCATTTGTGGTAGCTGAATATGCACAAGTAAAATTGAAAAATTGGGCCTTCACGTTAATCCCAATTTTCTTCTGCTTTGCTTTGTGTGCATGATTCAGCTCTTACTTTAGTCTCTTGTTCAAATAGTTTCCTGTGAAACTTCATATTGCAGTAGAAGAGGCCAGCTAGCTTTCTTTTTTTTTTTTTTTTTTTAAAAAGACTGCTATCAAATTCTGTCATCAGCTGTGTGCACACCATTCCCTTTGAAGGAAATTAGCTGTGTGCCTATCTAAAGGCAGAATTTGACCATACATACGTAGGACATCCTGTGTCTGAAACCAACTTTTTTGTTGTTTTAAATTTAATTTTATCTCTTGGCAGGAAGTATGCAGTATGCTCCAAGAGCCCTAATTTATAATGATGATACTAGAGGGGCATAGGCCCCTTTCTGTAGTATTCAGAGTAGCAGCCGTGTTAGTCTGTATCCGCAAAAGGAACAGGAGTATTTGTGGCAGTTTAGTTAGTCTCTAAGGTGCCACAAGTACTCCTGTTCTTTTTTCTATAGTATGCAAATGTTCCCCGATATTACTGATGGATACCTCTCTGTGAGGTTAGGGGGAAAAAAGACACACTTCCCTAGGGTGCATATTGGGAGGGGAGAGTAAAAAGCAAATTTGGCATTTCGCAGCGACTTCACATTTCGTTTTTATTACATATGCATCACACCTGCAGAGTTGTGCTGAAAATAGCTATCTGCATAGTTTTAATATTTGCTGATTGATACTCCAAATAATATACCCATATCAGTTTAGTATTTATATACACTGCAGTATCACTCTAACACTATCATTGGTAGTGGAGCATTTTAATGTGGTTCAGAGCCAAAGTTCGTTATATCAGGGCACACATTAAGAAGATCTTTGGGGAAAAGTGTTGACCTTTTTAAAATTAATGCTGTAATAAATGAAGGGTGAGAACAGAAGTGAAGGTGTTTATCCTTATTAAATGCAAGCATTTGAACCCTGTGACGAGTGTGGTATCCGATAGCTTGGAGAGTGTAAATGACAGTGTAGATATAATTTTTTTAATGTACTGGCAAATCCTAATTTGAAAATGAATAGACAGATATAACAAATACTTAATGAATATAAAGAAGTCTTGTGCAATTTGTAACATCCCATTTGGAGGGATTTTAGTTATTGGCTTGTCAGCTATTGGGAAGGTATGTTACTCTTATTAAACAATAATACTTTAACATAAAGCTTTACTTCTTCAAAGCATTTTATATGAATCAGTTAATCTTCACAATGTCCCAGTGAGGTAGATTTAAATATTATTATTCTCATTTTACATAGCAGGAAACTGAGACGCGATTAAAGATCCTTTCTGAAGTATGTTGCAGAAGTTCCATTGATTTCACTTGGAGTAGGACTGGGTCCAATGTGACTCTCCCACCCGAAGTCCATTGATGGAGTCTGTCAGAGCCGGGAGATGCTAGCAGGGATTTGGAGCAATCAAATTTTTGAATTGCTCCGCTCCAGCTCCGGGCATAAAACCTACTGGTCCGGGTTCCGCTCCAAAGCCCTGGATGCTAGATCACAATCCATTAGCCTACGCATGCATCAATTTAAAATTAAAGCATAACAGAATATACCTGATCAATAAGTGCAGTAAATACCTGATTACTTGTTGTTTTTATTGTGTTGTTTGAAGAGCTGCTTTTTTTATATATGCAACAATATCATTTAGCATTTCTTGCTCTTTGAAAGCTTCCACTGGTTTGAGAGACTCCCTTAGATGTATAGTGAGGAATTCTGGTGCAACCAATACTAATGTTGTAATTATGATCACAGTAATTACATAGATTATACTATATATGTGGGCTCTGTGTATAATTCTTAGTAAAATGATGTCAACAGGTGCAGAAATTGAAGTTCAAGGGACAAAGTAGAAGGTATAGTTGAATGGAGGTCATCTTTAATATACTATATGCAGCTTAATTTGCTGTTAAAGTTTATTTCTTTAAGGACAGAGGTTAGAAATAGCTTATCCTGTGGATCAAACTATTATACCTATTATTTATGCGTGGTCTGTAACGTTTACAGGACTAGAAGCCAGTGACAACAGATGGGGTGGAGAGCAAATACTAACAGAGTACTGTTTGGGTAACAATGTTGTTAAGAGTCTGAAATCACAAGAAAATCACACTTGCATGGAGATGTTTATGTATCTTCAGTAAAAAACTCCCAAATGTGTCTGCAAGGGAAAATTACTAATATTTATTACGGAAATTCTGATCCACCCCGCATTGCCTGTCTGAAAATAAATGAGAAACAGAGTGGATAAGGTAATATCTTTTATTGGACCAACTTCTGTTGGTGAGAGAGACAAGAAGTTGATCCAATAAAAGATATTACTTCACCCACTTAGTCGCTCTAATATCCTGGGACAGTCGTGGCCACAACTCTGCATACAACAATGAAAATAAATCATAACTTTCCCACTCTATCATTATACTAGCCACTCTTATTTGATTTGTTTAAAATTATCCAAATTAGTATTTCAACCCCTTGCATTCAAAAAGTGTTAAGCTTCAAAAATCACAAGATTAACTTTATAATCATGAGGGTTTTTTTAAAATGAATCGTGGGTTTTTTATTTGATTTCTGTGTTTGAGCCTTTACAGTTTGTTTTCAAGCTTTTCTCCACAATCACAAGGACTAGAAACTTTTTTTAAAATGAAAGATAAGATTCTCATGTAACTAATTGCACGATTCCAGGAGCTATGGCTTCAAGAATTACACCACATATCACACAATTCACGATAAATTTGCGAGACTTCTTCTCCCCCCCACCCCCGATAACTGATTTTTGGCTTGGGTGCTAGAGTCAAATCAGTATATTTATAGAAGTGGGATATACACCCCCAATAAAATTCTTTCTTCCCAGAAGACCAAAACAGTTTGTTAGGTTCTTATGATATGTGTATCCCTAAAATGTCAACACTTGGTCAAAATTTAAACAAATATTCGTTTTTTTCCAAGACAAAATCAAGTTTTTATTCTGAAATGTGTGGAGTTTTTTTGTTAAAGCCTTATAAAACCTAATTTTAATATAAATATCTTCATGGCTTAAAGAAAAATGAAAAGTATTTTTGTTTGAATTTAAACATTCACTTACAGCGTTTGGGATGTAAACTCTGTAGTACTGAGCATGAGAATCTGAAAGTGAAACTGAATAGTCTTCACTGCTGAAGCTGAGGGGCAAAATGTAAGCAATCAGCAAAAACTGAAAAGTAAGATTATTTTTTCATTTTTAATAATCTAAGGAATTATTAGTAACAGGTAAAGACAAGTTTCTTAGATATGATTTTTAACCTGCCTGTACTTACTGAACAGCACTCAGGAACGCACACAAATATTGAGAGCCTTAAGGCAGCACTATTTCCAAAAAAAACATAAAAAGCTTATAGACATTGATTCTGGATTTAATTGTCCATGTAATCACATTTTTGGTGAATCGCTGTTTCTAAAAGATGATTATGTAAGTTGAGTCTTTGGGTGTGTCTACACTATAGAGCTTTTTGCTGGCCATAGCTACTCCAGCAAAGCCCCCTAGTGGATATTCAACATATACCAGCAAAAGCAGTTCTGTGGGTTTAGTTACACCACCTCCCTGAGTGACATAGTGTTCAAAAGCACTCTTCTGTTGTATCTTTGAGTATACACCTGGGATTTTGCTGACATAGCTACGTTGGTTAGGTGTGTATGATTTCCCCCCACTCCTAGCTGACATAGCTATTTTGGCAAAACTTTATAGTGTAGACTAAGCCTTACGAAGGAACGTCACTTACATGAAGGAGTTTTGCATTTTCCAAAAATAAACCAGGTAGGGCTGAGACTTTCGGAGCCATCAATAGGAGTTAGATGCACAGCTCATTAATTGCAGTGGGAAATATGTGTCTAAGTGGCTTTGGAAATCTCAACCTATTACGTATAAGGGACAAATCGTGACTTTTGCAGTCATTGTTAAAATTCCCATTTACTTCAATCAGACTGACTTCACTTCTGGATTCATCCTTAAAAGCTTAGTTGTTGAAGTGCATGAGGGTGTGGCCATTGACCTCTCTAAGTGAAGAGTTGGATTCTATCTGAGCAGTTTTAAGCACAGTACTGATAGGTGGTTCTGTTATGCAGAATATTTCTAAAAGGGATTCTGCCAAGGAAATATATTTAATGCTGTGATTTCTTCTCTTACTGACATGTTTGTTTGTTTTTAAAGTTGGATTTGAAGACTATGGACCAGATTGTGATAGCATGAGGATAACTGCATTCTTGGACATTCCGGGACAGGATAACTTGACTCCGCTTGCTCGTTTGGAAAAATATGCTTTTAGTGAGAATATATTTAATCGGTAAGGACATGACAATTAGACTAATATTTTTAAAGACAAGGCTAGACATTTCTGCATTGTTATTTTACTCCCCATAGTTTTCTAGCCATTATGTTAATATTTTTTATTTTATTCTGAATCTTATTATGGATTTTAAATGAAGAATAAAATATTATGTTACCATACCTCTTGTGCATTTTTAAATGCATATTTATTATAGGTTTTATTGTAGTAGAAACAGAATTATTGTTGTACATAATTTCTACAAGGGCCCAATTTTCAGTTTTGGTCACCTTAACAGGACATCTATATCCCACAGTTCTACATTTGGTTTGGAATGTAGCCATACTGTGTACCTGTTCTGTATGCCTGAACATTTAAAAAGAAGATTGGCCATCCTTTTAAGGTGCAAAATGCTGCACTTAGGAAGGAAAAATCAAATGTACAAATATAAAGTGGGGAATAACTGGCTAGGGGGAAGCACTGCTGAAAAGGATCTGGGAGTTATAGTGGACCACAGAGTGAATATGAGCCAACAATATGATGCATTTGCAAAAAAGCTACTACCGTTCTGGGGTATATGTATGACCACAAGAGGTAATTGTCCTACTCTACTTGGCACTGGTGGCCTCAGCTCGAGTATTGTGTCCAGTTTTGGGCACCACACTTGAAGAAAGATGTGATCAAATTTGGGAGAGTCCAGAAGAGAGCAACAGATGCTAAAAGATTTACAAAACCTGATCTATGAGGAAAGGCTAAAGCAAACTGGGTACATTTAGAGAAAAGAAGACTGAGGGAGGACCTGATAAGTTTTCAAATATGTTAAGGGCTATTATAAAGAGGATGGTAATCAATTTTTCTCCCAGTGTAGGTAGTTAGATCTATTAGGAAAAATTTGCTAACTATAAGATAGTTAAGTGCTGAAATAGGTTTCCAAGGGAAGTTGTGCAATCATCATCATTGATGATTTTTAAGAACAGGTTAGACAAAAGCCTGTCAGGGATAGTCTATAAATAATGGCCCTACCTCAGTGCAGGGGACTGGACTAGATGACCTTTTGAGATCCCTTCCAGCCCTGCATTTTTATGATATTCTCCCCTGCCCCTTTCCCCCTCACCCCCCAAAGCTGTCAGCAGGATGTTAAAGTGCACATTATGTTGTCCCTTCGCAGACAGATTATTGCCAGAGGTCTACTTGATGTCTTTCGAGATTTCAGTAATAATGAAGAAGATTTCTTGACGGTAATGGAGATAGTGGTCAGACTGTCCGAAGATGCAGGTTTGAGATTCAATTTCTTAATTTTTTAAAACTCCTTATGTAGTACTTGACTGACTTACTACTGCTTGGTTTGGGTTGACAAATACTGTGTAAGGGTTCATTGAGCAGGAGGGACAGGTCTATGTACTGTGAACACCTTGTGACCTACTTTTTATTCAGCTCTCCACTCTACCTTTGTATATGTGATATATGCTGTCTTTGGAGTGGTGTGACATCTGTTAGTGACTGAAGGACGTGGCTTCTGGCAGCAGTTCCACATGCAACACTTAGCAGCCAGGTGTATCAATGAACTCTTATCTTCTCTTAGTTTAGAAATCATACTCATTCTGGAGTATATCTTTGATCCATCTGGCTCTGAAGAGGAAGAAGGAATGTGACTGTGTTAAAGCACAGGGTAGATTGAGCAAAACACACTTGCTTAATGTACCTCATGTATCTTATATGACACCCAGTACTGTAGAGTTTAACTATCTCACAATCTTTAATGTATTTATCCCATAACATCCCAGAGGTAAAGAAGGGCTGTTTATCACCATCTTGCACATGGGGAACTAAGACCTAGAGAAGCTAAGTGACTTGGCCAAGGTCACACAGGAAGGCTTGGGCACAGCAGGGACTTGAACCAAGATTTCCCGTAATCCAGTGTCCTAGTCACTGGACAATTCTTCTTCTCTGGAAACGGTTAATGGCTTTGCCATATGGGAGCCATAGAGACTGGAACACCAGCTTCTGTGTTTTTGCTTATTTCTCTATGGGCTCTGTCTTAAAGTCAGCTCCTGACTTAAAAAAATCAGAAGGCAAAGTCTGTACATAGAAAAAGTACAAACATAAAGACTTAAGCCAAGGTACTAAGAGAGTTAGGTACCCAGATCCCATTAAAATTCTATGGGAGTTGGGTGTGTGACTCCCTTAGGTTCCTTTGAAAATCCTGTTCCAAAACTATATTCCTTCATTTAAATTAGCGATGAATACTTACAAATTCCACTGAACTCAGCAGGAGCAGCAGGTTGTCAAGACCTCTAAAAACCAGGCCACTTAATGTAGGTGCCTAAGAATAGATCTGGGTGCTTAACTTTAGGCACCCAGAATTGAAAAAAGTTATTTCCCAAAACATTTCTCTACTTACTAAGAGTAGTTAGGGTAAAAATATATGTAACCCTCCCCCCCACATACTCCCAAAAGCGCACCCACACTTTGCTCGTACTGTGTATATTGTGGGCAAGTTAACATGGGTTGAAGAATTTTGTATTTGAATTTCCTGATGTTTGGGGGAGTTTGGTTTAACATATGCATTAACATATGGTTTTGGGAATGTTTTTTGGTCACATATTATTTATGTATATTTAATATGACAACTTCTGTAAGTGATTGCTTTCTTTTATAGTGTGCTGAGTTGACGCCTGAACTAGTTAACTGTTTAAAGTTTTGTTTCTATGATATTTTTCTGCTTGTTTCTTTTAAACGAGTCTGTCTTAAAAACAATTGGAAAATGTTAATTGCAATGAAGATCATTTCAAGGGAGAAATAGCTTTTAAAATACATATTTCTATCTTATTAGTAGTTATATGATATGTTTTTTATGACAGACTCGTTTAAAAGAAACAAGGATACTTTTCAAAAGATGAAAAATATCCAGCGAACCTTAGCAAAACACAGGAAAACGGTGTGAAAAATGTGTGCATCCCTTTTCTTTTAGACCATTAGCTCCATCCGCATGCATTGGCTCATAGATAAATGAGGTACTAGTACGCAGAAGCTGTAAGTAAATTAGTTATAATGCATGAAAAGGGCAAGATTCTCAAGGAAGATAGCTATCCATTTGTTTAAAAATATGGATCTAAGTCTCTTGGGCTGATGGGAGGTTATATTTGAGACCGTTTGATTTCTCAGCTGACCTTTAAACACAGATATTCTAAATGGTGACATTTCTAAAAACAGGATTTTTCTTTTTTGTGTATGGCTTTTCATAGTTTCCCAAGAGGAAATGCTATTTTATTGAATGTATCTGGTTCTAACTTTAAACTTACTAAAGCCATTTTGACTTTCTCTATGCTGCCAGAGCCTACTGTACGGACAGAACTGATGGAACAAATACCTCCCATTGCCATTTTTCTGCAAGAAAGTCGACCAAACTTCCCAACAGCATTTTCTGACTACCTTATGCCCATTGTAGTGAGATACCTCACAGACCCTAACAACCAGGTAGGAAATCTCAGACTGTAAAAGTTGTATAGTTAATTCAGTATGGCATGTGGACCTTTCACAGTACGGAGGAGTTATACATTAATTTCTATTAGTACTAATAATACTTAGATCTTATATAGTACTTTACAAAGGCCGTCTGTATCATTCCCATTTTACAGATGGAGGAACGGAGACATAGAGATCGGAAATGACTTTCCAAAGGTCACCCAGCAGGTCAATGATAGAGTCAGGAATAGAATCCAGGTCTCCTGAGTCCCAGTTCAATGTTCCAACCAGGAAGCTAGTGCCCAAAGTTGGGTTAAAAGTCCCCTTAAAATCCTCAAGTTTTTATGTTTGTTACTAAGAATATCTTAGTTTTATTAAAAGTTATGAGCTTTTCACTGTTTTCTTGACTTTTTGCACTCCATTCAGTGAAAACAGATATTGACTTGACTTTTATGGTTCTCATAAAATACTGCATTTACAGTGTATTTTTTTTAATCTTTTCTTTTGCATGTTACTAGGTTAGAAAAGCAAGTCAGGAAGCACTGCTGATACTGCTAGAACAAGAACTCATTGCTCAAAATGATATTGAAAATAAGGTGTGTCCAATTCTGTTGGACCTCTCTGCTCCAGACAGTGACGATGAGTACAAAGTGGAAGCAGTGAATGTAAGTGGCAGTGAAAAAGATTTTTTGTTTTAAAATTGTATCCCCTATTTGGACACTTTTTTTTTTTTTAATTGGTGTATATATTGGTCAATGCAAGGATCTGGGAGATGGACTTTGTATTCAAACTTTTAACTTGCTAATTAAGTAAACTAGTTAACTGGAAGATTAGTTTTAATTCTGCCTGTATTTCTCAGTTGTCCCATTACAAGTGATCTTTCTGTAAAGGACTGACCAGTTTCCCAGCCCCTTTCCAGTGTCTCAATATGCATGTCTGCATGTGAGATTTAAACAGACACACACACACCGTAAAAAAACACAACAAAACTAGCGAATGAAAATTACACTAAGGCCTTGGCTACACTGGCGCTGTACAGCGCTGCAACTTGCTGCACTCAGGGGTGCGAAAACGCGCCCCCCCCCCCCCCCAAGCGCAGCGAGTGCAGCGCTGTAAAGCGCCAGTCTAATCACAGTCTGCAGCGCTGCACGCTTGCTCGCAACACTGCAAGCTACTCCCCTCGGAGAGGTGGAGTACATACATCGTTGCGAGAGCTCTCTCGCAGTGCTGGCGGCGCGACTACACTTGTGCTTCACAGCGCTGCCGTGAATTCCCGCGTGTAGCCAAGGCCTAACTTGAGTTCTGGAATTTGCTGTCTTCCAGCCTCAGCCAGTGCTGGTAAAACATTTCTAGATCAAGGAATATGAGTTGATCAAGGTCCTCTTTTGTAAACCTTCTGGAATAGAATTAAAGCCCGATACAATGAAAAAAACTTAGAATTATGATTAAAACGGAGATGCAAGATGGTATTGGCCATTATTTTGAGAAGTTAGAAACCAGTGTTAAAATCCTCTCTAAGCTTGGAATGCCAGCTTTAAATATGGTAAGCCACTGAGGCTTGAATTTATGTGGTCATTAGTAACTTGTTGTATTGGGCCCCTTGTGACCCCAAACTTGCATCATTGTCATCAATGCAAGTTGTGCCATTAACTTGGATGGGAGCAGGTTTGGGCTCTTAAACACTAATTTGGATCTCTTGTAAGGAACCTTATCTAGTTCATAAGAGATCACCAGCTAAAATTGAAGTGATGAAGAAAGCAAGATGGTAATGAGAACAATGTCACAGTAAGGTTTTTTGGTCTGCCAAAGATAGAAGCACTTTGTGAACCAATTCAAATAACTTTTCAACTAGTACATTTTCTGGGCCTAGTACATGTGGTCAGACAGAAGAAAATTCTGAGCCCTGCATCAGTGAAGCATTTGAGGAATCCTTTGGACTCCCCTGCTTTTGAGACTGTTATTTATAATAACTCTTCTTGGAAAAATCTTTTTTTTTTTCTGCTTGTAAATGTTGTTACACCCACCTTATATAGCTTTCAGTCAGACAGTTAGTCAGACTTTCCAAATCTTATTTTCCTAAGTAATTTTCAAGAATAGGCATCATTATGGTGTTGACAAACAATTTCAGTTGACACTGGGAGGCTACATCTACACTATGAAGTAGGGGAGTTATCTTCCGGCTTGCGTACACATACAGTAGCTCATAGCAGTATAGCCACGGTAGCATGCGTAGCAGCAGTGGAGGCATGACTTAGCCTGCAGAGCACAAACCCACCTGAAACCAGTGGTATGTACTCAGCACAGCTAAGCCATGCTACAGCTGCCACTACTTGTGCTACTTTGGCCACACTGCTACTTATACTCACATTAGCTTGATGAGAGCTAGTGTGAGTATGTGTAAGTGAGCAGGGGAATCTCACCCTAGCTTGTAATATAGACGTAGCCTGATGGTGTGTCTACACTGCAATTGGAGGTGTTATTCCAGCACATATAGATGTAACCGAGCTAACTTTAATTTAGCTAGCTCAGGTACCAGTAGTAGTAAAGCTGTGGCAGAACAGGCTTCGGCATGGACTAGTTGCCTGAATACATACCCAGGGTCCCAGGTGGGCTTGTACAGCCTGTGCTGAAGCCTGTGCTCTTGTAGCTTCACTGCAGTTGGTATCCAAGCTAATTAGATTAAAGCTGGCTAGAGTATGGATATACACCTGTACCCTGATATAACGCTGTCCTCGAGAGCCAAAAAATCTTACCGTGTTATAGGTGAAACTGCGTTATATCGAACTTGCTTTGATCCGCCGGAGTGCGCAGCCCCGCCCCCTCCAGAGCACTGCTTTACCGCGTTATATCCGAATTCGTGTTATATCGGGTCATGTTATATCTGGATAGAGGTGTACATGCTGCAGGTTCCCCCCTCCGCCCCCCCCATTGCTTTATGGACATATTCTTAAAGAGACACTGTAAAACAGCACAGCTTCAAATTACCTATATTAAAATTATAATATAGTTGGCTAACTGTCTAAGGAAACTAATAGTAATTCATCACAAAAGGATATTTTTTCTGTATAAAAAGTTCTTGGTATGTAATGCTCTAATAAGAACTCTGTTATAAACTTGTGCCCCTTCCTCTGACTGCAGCATCAGTTAATCTACAATCCCAGAGTAGTGCTGACATCACAGTATTGATGCACAAACAAGCAAGCAACAAAACCTATGTTAATTACAAGTGCAATTAAATTCATAGGGAAAAATCAATGTTCTCCATATTTGGGAAAAGATCAGAATCAAAGTTTATATTTTCAAGGTGCTAAAAGATTGTTAGAAACGGAGAGCAAATAAAATTAAAACATTTGGCAGCATCCCTTAAATAGATGCAAAGGTCATAATTTCCCCCAATGATCTCTTTCTGAAGTCTTCAGATTTCTACCCTGGTTCTTGTTAACTTTACAGAGAGTATGAATGATGATTAAAGTCTTAAGTCTCAAGTGTCTTGATGAAAAAACAGATTCTGTTCACTTAGAAGAAATCAGATTTGGGTTCAGCAGGGACCTCTGACACTTGACCTCTAAAATAGCTTTACCAGCTAGATTCCCCTTCCTTGTCTGGAAGTTGGTTATTGCTCAGGGCGACTTCCAGGGTGACATCTGAATACCAGATGTCTGTTTGAAGGACTGACAGTTCCATTTAAAAAGTGGGATTATATGGTATTCTTCCTTCGTTTTTATTTGGCATTCTATCACAAAGATGGAATATTCTTGGGAGCGGTACTTGTTTTTATGGAGGTAGAAATTATATATTTTCTGAAATATTAAAATAAAATGTAGAGTTCTATTGAGTCAATAATATTTGTGTCAGTATGCGATTCCTGGCTCTGTGGGACACTGACGTTATCAATGGAAAGGCATGTGGAAGTCAGTAAGCCCTTCCTCTCTCTGGAGTCACAAATTTGGGACTCTTCATGCGCTGTAGTGAAAAGACAGCTGAAAGAGTGTATATGGCTAAAGTAATTAAATGCTACAGGTAACATGGTTTGTGGTGACCTTTGAAATTGGCAACTTCACACGGAATTAATGAGGGTTTTTTTTAAGCTGAAGTTTATAAACTAACAGCTAACTGAATCTGAATTCTATCGAGTTGTGCACTAGCTAACCTATATAACCATGTTGTCTTAATCATTGTTTCCATTGTCCTTCCTACTCGTTGTCTGTCCTGTGGTTGGTCAAACTCACTTGTTTTTTGTCTTCAGTTTAGGCCCTGGTCCTGCAAAGAGCTGTGCACATGCTTAACTTTAAACACCTGAGCTGGCTAATTGAAGCCAAGGAGACTACTTGCATTCTTAAAGTTAAGCATGTGCTACAATGTTTTCAGGATTGTGGTTTTGGACAGCACCTACCACAGCGGGGTCTCAGTCCTGGTATGGTCCTCCAACACTGCTGTCACAAATATTTAAGTGTAATCCACACTATGAAATAGTTTGAGAATCCTGGAAACCATGTATAAATTGTTGATTTCTGTAACTCATCCTATGCAATTTAAAAAAAAAAAAAATCTCAATCCTCTAATACAGAAATGTTATGCATAATAGTATGATGTCAGTGGATTTTGTAGTTTTAATAACTACTGGCAAGCAAAAACAATGTCAATTTAACTCATACAATAGTTGTATTTTAAAGTAATAGTTTGCCTTTTGCTTTCAGAACTCTTCTTTTTAGAAAGAAAACTTGAACTAGAAGTGCTTGGTGACTATTACATTAATGTTTTTTCTCCCTCTTCTGTGTTATAGATAATTTGTAAAATGGCTTCTATGCTGACCAAAACTATTGTTGAACGTATGCTACTTCCCCGTTTCTGCGAGCTGTGTGGTGACGGGAAACTTTTCCAAGTCCGTAAGGTTGGTATGACTTGTTTCAAAACTGAAACACTTCAAGTACATTCTACAGTATTTTTAACATCTACATCAAATTATCTTTAAGCATAGTATTGATAGTAATATGATTTCAGACTTTAGCAGTGCCTTTGATTCTCCTTTTTCAATGTAAAGGAATTTCCTTATTTGTTTGATTTGTGTGTTCTATGTTTAAAATATAATGCTCATGAAAGTGACGTACCTATGCCCCTGGCTTGAGCCAAATATAGGCCTTGATTCAGCAAAACGTGTAAGCGTGTGTTTGAAATTAAGCCACTCAGGGCCATAGTGAAGATAGTTTTGTCAGTGATTTGAGCATTGGCCTGCTAAACCCAGGGTTATGAGTTCAATCCTTGAGGGGGCCATTTAGGGATCTGGGGCAAAAATCAGTACTTGGTCTTGCTAGTGAAGGCAGGGGGCTGGACTCAATGACCTTTCAAGGTCCCTTCCAGTTCTATGAGATAGGTATATCTCCATATATTATAATACACTTAAGTACTGACCTGCACACATTTTTCTTCTGCTCCATTTTTGGCAACCTCTTTAAAATATTCAGGTGGCGAACCCCTGCAGTCCATTCAGAGTCCATTAAAGTTGATGAGACTCCTCACTGATGCAGAGGTCCAACCTAGGGGTGTCATTGATTTCAACGGCGCTGTGTATGTACCACAGGGAGCTGCCCTAATGAATCTCTTGTCCAGGACTGAGGCCTTAGCATTTACAGGATTTAAATTTGTTAATAGGATTTGTATTGTAAAAGACATGCAAACTACTGAGTCCAAATTTGATGCTTAGGAGTGAACAATAAGGGGTAAAATTCTTGACTCCAGTCAGTAGCAAAACTCTAATTCATTTCAGTGGGGCCAGGAGTTTACCCATAACTTTGATTGTTATGTTTTTGTTTTTTTTTAAGGTTTGTGCAGCTAGCTTTGGCGATATTTGTAATGCAGTTGGACAAGAAGCCACAGAGAGATTTTTGGTATGTAAAATTTAGAGATGCACAAAAAGATTTTGTATTTTGCTTGAGCTTTCATATCTGCTTTTACAACTGAAATATTTTAACAAGGAAATTACCGATAATACCATTTAGTTTTCTTTGAGACAAAAGAACAAACTTCTGGATAACTCTTTCTTGAATTTAAACCTGCTTCGCTGGTTTAGTCGCCATTGGTGGCAAAAGTTTGTTTTTAAAAAAAGACATTTCAATTTATTTTTTAAAACACTGTTTATGCAATAAGGGAGGGTTCTTTTCAGTGAATTTATTAATTATCGGGAAACAATCAACTTGAAATCTCAACAATGGGTAAAAAATTGAGTTAAAGTACTTTCACGTTTTATACCTATTCATGAGTGCCCTGGCAACTTTTGTAGTTTTACATTACAGTTTATTATATTTTAAATGTTTATTTTCTTTCTCATCCTGATGTTGTATAAAAGACGCACACAAACAGTAGAATTATCTTACAATATTCACTTTTCTTTAGGTAATAGTGAGTAGTTTTTAGGTGTCAGTGCAGGACAGGAACTAGCTGTACTTATTGCAAGTGAGAGTCCTGGTAAAACACCACAGTTTGTGCCACTAATATTCTGTCTATTGCTTTTAGCAAAAGGCAAGGAAAAATCAATTTTGATTTGAGTGTGATTGCTGTACAGATATGTATAAAATAGCATTTTAACAGAAACACCGAGGTGTTTGCAAAAGTCTAATTAAAACAGATTACTTTCTTCTGTGAGTAGCTGGCTATTTTCCCTTTGCTAGACTTTTTAAATAAAATCCCAGAAACTTGTGTGAGAGAGGAGAAAAACAAAGGGGGGGAGGAGGTGGTGGTGGAATGTTCCTGAGGCAGTGTTTCCAAATGCGGAGCTGGTCTGGTACTGAATAGGAAGACTGTATTTTTCAAGTTAACAGTTTTATCCCTCACCTCCAACATACTTTTGTGTGTGCTTTCAACTGTGCTTTAAAAAAAAAAATATATATATATATATATTTTTTAAGTGATCTGATTTTTCTGTCCCCATCCCGCCACCCTCCCTAGACTAGAAAGAATTAGTTTCCCATGCTTAATAAGTTATCCTTATACCAAGATATGCTTGCAGAAAAGAAAGCCTATTACTAATTTTCCCTATGCCCCTCCGCTTAATTTAAATGAAAGCAAGACACAACTGAGATGAATGGGGGAGGGAAGTTTTAATTCTTCAATAATTAATATAATTATAATTTTTCTTCTCAGTCACTACTTTCGCATCCTTTTTCACCCATTGCACACAAACTACTACTAACTATTTTTTCCACGTAATTAAACCAACCGAAAGTGGTATCTCGTACTGCAGCTTCAATACCTGTTTGAGTAGCTATAGTTTCATTCATTTTTGACAGATTCCAAAGTTTTTTGAACTCTGCTCTGATAGTGTTTGGGGAATGCGAAAAGCTTGTGCTGAATGCTTTATGGCTGTGTCTTACACCACTTCTCCAGAAGTTCGCAGAAGCAAGCTGTCCCCTCTCTTTATCAATCTCATCAGTGACCCCTGCAGATGGGTAAGTAGGTGGTGAGGTACCTCTGACCTAAAAGACATTAATGCATGCAAGCTACCTTTTTCAATTACAAGGACTTTTAAGTGGCCAAACCAGTGGCTTAATAGCAAAGGTAGGTCTCCTGTATAGGCACACATGGTAATTCTCAGTCTTGGTCCCTCAAATGGAGGACACTGAGGGCAGCATGGATGCAACACAGATATGCTTTCTTCATGCACACATGCACACCCTGTAAAATGTAGTGCTAATATAATTAGAGGACAGATTAAAATCCAATTACATGGGCACCATGTACAGTCACCACCAAAGACTGAAAGCTGGGTATGTTAGGTATGTGGTCTTCTGCTCTTTTTGGTTTCCATGTTCACTTTAGAAATGTAAAGTGTCATGCTTAGAAGGTGGGTGTCATTCTGGGCCTTCTAAATTTTGGTCCGTCAAACTTGGGGATGATGCTTTAAATTTTTTTTGAAAATGTCATAATGGCGATTACATTAAACACTTTATTTTCATTGTCATGATACTGGGTGCATGTGGGGCTTTTGGACCATGTCTGTGAAACAATTATGATTTCACTTGAATCATGTAGTGAAAAGTTAAATAAGTCAGATGAACTATATTTACTAACGCACATTTTGCTTCTTGAATCCCCTTACTCTGATGTCTTGCTTGTTCCTGATAAACTCTAGTAGTAAAATGTATTAAATGAAGCCAGGACTGGTTTAATAGCATACTCTGAAAAGCTTAGATAATAGCTAAGTATAACCTTGTAATATAGTAAGAGCTAAATTTGAGCCATATTTCATTATTAACAATTTACCAAAAGGCAGCATGGCTACAACATATGTCACATCTTTATTTTTGTACTGTGCCAGGTTCGCCAAGCTGCTTTTCAGTCTCTAGGCCCATTTATTTCTACCTTCGCAAACCCTTCTAGTGCTGGCCTTTATATTCGGGAGGATGGGACCCTCAGTATCCGACCATCAGCACAGGATGTGACTTCCAGTTCCTGCCAACCAGGCAACAATGCAAACATCACATCTGCCAGTACGAACATTGTATCCTCCAGGTAAAGCTATGGTTGAGGTGTGAAAAGGGAGAGGAAAACTGACAAAATATTTTTTCCTCCACAGTCTTTCAGTTAAGTCTTTAGTTGCTATGATCTTGTGTTTAATATATGTGACTACCAAAGGTCTTATTTTTAATGTAGGTGTAGTTTCAATAATGGTTTAAAATGTGGGCTACATAGGTCTGATGAATTGCCACATGATTTAATCTAGCTACTTTAATGTTTCACCAGTAATTTCTTGGAGGGGAAGGGAAGAGAGGAGGGGGGAAATGTATTGAAACTAGAGGTGAAACAAGTAGTTCTAAAGCAGGATTTGTCCTCAAGTAGAATAGCTCCAACTATTGTAATTGCTCTTGCTTCCTTATCTGGAGTGTGTGTCTTTTTAACTGGAAAGTGCTGTTCTAGGGTCTGTACCTTTTGTTTTCCTAATGCTATGTCTCTGTTCTCAGTTTAGAACAACCAATAGAAATTAAATCAGAATCGTCAACTGAAGGGACTTCAGCAGAAGCCAACCCCTTGATCTGTGTTGAAAGCCCAAGGACAGACCTACTGAAAGGAAGTTCAAACAGTTGTGGTGGTCCTGGAAAGGCTCTTACCAGATTGTCCCAGAATGACAATACCACTGCTTGTGTGATAGAAGGCATTAAAGACTGTCACATGAGCAATTGCCAGGGAGTGAACTCAAGGTTCCAGTCTGCTGAGGATATCTTTAATACTTTCCTGTACTGGCGCCCTCCACTCCCTGATATAAGCCAGGATTTGGAGATGCTTCAGTCCAAAACTGAGAAGCATGAAGAAGGTTGCTCTATGTCAAAAGCTATGTGTAATAACTGTGTTGCCAGTAGTGAAATAAAAAAAGTGCTGGAAAGCTTGCAGGAGCACATGGATGATCCAGATGTTCAAGGTAAAAGCCTACAATAGTAGTGATATGTGGAGGTATAGTTTCTGATGTCTCATGTAGTGAGGGTTCCTCGCACCCTTCAGAGCTCCTTATTGTAGCAGCCCTCTCCTGCCTAAAGCCAAGTTTCTCAACCTGTGGGTCGGGACCCAAATTCGGGTTGCCAGAATGTTTCAGGGAGTCGCATGGCAGTTCCTGTGGCTCCTGTCCCAGAGGGCTGGCTAGGCTCGTCTCCCTGCTCCAGGCACTGCAACCTCTGGAGTCCCAGCACCACTCAGGTTTGGCCCAGACGTTATGATGACAGACATCCGGGTAGGCCAAATTTGAGTGAGTGGTACTGCAACCCCCTGAGCCAGGTCACAACTCGACTCTCATTTGATCCAGTCAGGCTGGGAGGGGCAAACCAGTGTGACGTTGCAACCCTGGAGATTGCAATGCTTGAGGTGGAGAACCAAGTCAGGCCAGCCCCACAGCATAGGAGCCACCACTGTGGGGTAAGTGCCGGGCAAGACCCAACCACCCTGGGGGGCAGGATCCAACCAATACAACCCCAGGGCCTCCACCCCCAAACTATTTACTGAGTCACAAGAGGCCATAAACATTTTCAAATGGGTCCTGAGCCCCAAAAGATTGAGAACCACTGGAAAAAGTGGAAGGAAAAAGTGAGTAGTGGGGACAGAAGGCACAATAAGAAATATAAGAACAGAAAACTCAAGGGGAGAAAGATTAATGACTAGGAAAAGAGCAAGAAGTGAAGTGGAACTGGTGCATAGGAGTTGGCAGCAGAGTGGGGAGTCGCATGGCTGACACATATACAATAGAAAATAAAGAAAAGGGTTTGAGGCTATTAAGAAACAGTGAAGGAGTTAGACAAGTAAATCTGTATCTTTTCCATCATACCCTCTACTGTAATATCCTTGCTTTTCATCATTCCTCAGCCAAGCAACCTTCCTCCCTTTCAGAATAAAAGGATGTGTGGATGCTCATTTCTCTTCCTTCCTAGCCAAGCTGCCAAAACCCTCTTATATACCTCTACCTGATCTGATCCTTGTCTCTTTTTTGTGACCGTCATCTCATCTCTTCCCATCTACTCTTAAATGGTCGTTGCTTTTGGTCCCAGTATATGCTCTCGTGTTTCACCTTTAAAATCTAGTCACCGGGAGCTGGACCAATGTAAATATTTTGAAAGCTATTTGAAAATCTGAGTTCGTGGAGCCTTTTTTGTTCATATTTTCACAGAATGGTGCATTACATAGAAATGGAGCTGTGTTCAAAACTACATTGGCGGAATCATGGCAAAACATTCATTTTTGTTGTTTTGATCCATTCCTGAAAGACAGTTTGAGAGACATTTACTAAATACTTCCTCTTGCTTATATTTGATCAGAAATGGCTTCATCTGTGTGTATGTGATATTCTGGGGATCACCCAAACTGGTAAGGGGTTCTGTCACTGCCTGCCCTGGAATTTTGGGGTGCCTTAATGCTCTGCTGCTACGGCTCAGATCCCTGGCACCAGTAGGTTGCCCACAAGCACAAGGTCTCACCCTGGCTTCCACCAGCTTAGTTACTCTTACAGGGCGACACCAACAGCCCTTCCAGTCCCAAGTCTCACCTAATCTATCCTCCCCAACTTCTTAACTACCAGAGTCTCAGACTTTTGCCCTCTGGTTCATCACCCCCGAAGGTATGAAACCAGCCACCCAGTTATCAACTCACTTGTTGCACAACAGAGATCTGCTTGGGGTAAAAAATTCAAAGATGAAATAGTAAGGGAGAACAAACATACAAGTTACACAGTAAATAAATACGAAATGCAACTTCTGGCATTTACACTTGTATGTTAGATACAATTCCTTTTCTATTACAAGTTACCTGTTGCCTTTAAACGGTTTCCCACATACGCCCTAACTGCAGGGGGGATCCAGAGTTTCACAGGCAGCCTCCTACCTAGAGGCTGGCCTTCAGTTTCTGGATGAAGGCCTCAGTTTCAAGCTTCCTTTCGAAAAGTGCTGCCCCCACGCCCCACTCTCCTCCATGTTAAATTGTTTTAAGGGTAGTGAAATAGGACACGATCCAGGGTTCCTTGCAATCAGAGATTATCAGAGGTCTGTCCAGAGAATGGAAACAGATACTTATATGCTTCTGCTGGAAACGGTAATACTGCCTCTAAATCTATGCTCACAGCTTCTCTGAAAGGTTTTGCTGAAGTTAATTCTAGACCTTTTTTTGCAGAGGTAAATATTTCCTCTCATGTTTCTATGCATTTCGTTGTGTGTTGTTTTTTTTAAATCTCTCAGTATAAATAATTGTAGCGTTAATACTCCTTTAAAATGAAGCACAGAAAGGAAACTAAGGACCTGTATACGCTATGCTGGCGAAGGGCTGTGTTTTGTAGAGTGCTCTAGCTGCCCTGTGTAGAGCCTGATGGTGTGCTCTAAAAAGTACCTGGTTCACGTTGATGTTGTCCCATTTTACACAGGACTACGTTAATGTGAACTAGTTATCTTTCAGAGTGCATCATCAGGGGCGCTACACAAGGCAGTTAGAGTGCAGCCTCTTAGTGCTCTTTACAAATCACATCCATCTGGTGCACTTTGCCAAGCTGTGTAGACAAGCCCTAAATGTGCCCCTGATCCCTTTACTTTATACAGCCCAGGTTCAAGTATTGTCCGCTGCACTCAGAGCTGCTCAGTTTGAGTCCATCAATGATTATGAGACCAAACACACAGAAGAGAGCAATGGCAAACTTCAGAATGAATTGTCCACTTTTGAAGCCAGCCATGCCACTGTGGAGAAGAACACTTTGTCCTCTTCATCATTCCAGGATGATGTAAGCGACCAATCCACTACCAGTATACTGAAAAGCACAGTAAGTATACACTCATCCTCTGGACAGACAAGTAAGTTCTTAAGGTACGGACAATGTCTACCTCTGTTTGCCCAGCAATTAGCACAACAGTGCCCTGTTCTTGATTGGGGGCCCTAGACGCTACTGTACTATAATTTATTATATCCACTTATAATATAAAACAAAATTTAAAGTTTTTCAAGGAGCTTATTTCTATTTGGGTTCAGGTGAGCCAGGAAATAGAAAGCTTTAAGTGGCCGTACAGGAGCTTCATAAAAAACAAACCTAACAAAACCTTCCCTGTTTCTGAAGCAAATATAAGTCATTTGTCCCCAGACAAGGGACTAAATCAACCAGTGACAATACACATTCTTCCTGACTGCCATTTTACAATACTCTTAATGTGCTTGTAGGCTAAATAGGAAAACTTTTTCACAGTGCTTGTAATTTTGTCTTTATGATGGAGCTAATCATAGGAAGATACTAAAACCCTGCTTGTCCCCTAAAATAACACATTCAGTGCTAGCATTTGAGTTAACTACAACTTGATGTTCGCCTTTAATTCCTCTGCAATACAGGAGTACATTTTTTTTAATCACCAGCATTTTATTAGGAATTCATAAGGGGGCATGCTTCACAAATTGACATATTGATCTTGGATTGGAGTTCACCAGAACAGTTTCTTCACTGGTCTGTGGGAAAATAAAAGCAATATCTTGAGGGAAATGCAGGAGAATTAGAGTTTTCAGGAGTGTACTCCAAAATGAAGAAAACTTTTATCGGTGTATTATTTTTTCTGAAGCAAATATATTGAGCTGCTTTGTCAACATCTGCTAAATTTGCAGAGAGTAGAACCTTTAGAGAATAAATAAGAAACTACCTTCCAGTATCTGAAGGATGTTGGGTTCATTGCAATTACAATTAATAATTGATTATACCTTTTTAAAGTATTGAAAATATTAATCAGTTGCTCAATCTGAACATGGTTCTAAATTCACAGAGTGTGAGCATGAAGGCAGAGGCATTATTTCAACATTGACCTTTTAACTGAAATCAAAATATTCTGGCTAGTGTCCCATGGACATTTTAACAATCCTAAAATTTAGTTAAAGAAAGTCCGTTGGAGTAATATTTTTGTTGCCATAGTGGGTCAATAACTAGATGTGCAGTATCTGTTAATCATAGTGATTGTTCTTGATCTGACCTGCTATTCATGAAGCTGAAAACTGATCCTTTCTTGATTAAGACATTGCATAGAATCCGTTTTGTTGTGGGTGATTCTTATATGGCCAAATTCTGCTTGCATTACTCACATAAGTAATCATCTTGACTTGGCTACTTACATGAGTAGTGTGAGCATGATTTGGCCCTCAAAGACCTACTCTATGTCTGAATTGTGTTGCTCTTCAGTGTAATGCTTTGAGATATACTAAACAGTAGTTCTGTAATGAAAGAAAGTAAAACTAACTGTTTTCATCATAAATCCAACATCCTTTTACAGGAGTCAGAGGAACAACACAATGGGACCATTGAATTTTTAAAGAAAGAACAACATAATAATCCACCCATTGAAGATGATAAATCGAAGTTACAGGTGATTTAAAATATTCATTCATGATGCCTTACCCTCAACTCTGTGGCATTTCTTTGTTTGTCTGTAATGTGATAATTTGTAAACACCTGTCCAATCAATTCCATAATTTCAGAAAATATTCTAGGCATTAATGAGTAGAACTCTATTGACTTTGATTAAAATAATTAATGGAAATCCAGGCAAGCCCACAGAGTGCATATTTGGTGCTGCAAACAGAGGAATCTCTCTCTGGTATCCCCAGCTGCTGCCTACACATCACAGGCAGCAGCTTAATATGCTGCTCTCACTGGGTGTACAGATTGGCCTACAAACAACAATTTCGTTTTTAAATTGCCAGAGAAGTTTATATAAACAGAACTGCATTGGAAAATCTAGCTGTTAGATCTAGCTGCATAAAATAACTTGATGCAGCACCCAAAATGATGTTTATTCAGTAATAAAAATCAACCTTTGCCATCTTCCTGATTTGATACATAGACTGTTGCCTACTGCTTTGTCTAAACTGGATGACAAGGCACCCAAGGTAGTGACTCGTGCTGTAGTTTGTTGCGCTAGCCTGACATAGGCTGTGGAGTGTTCAGTCATTTGTTCTGTCCTGGCATGTGCCCCTGGTGCACTTGCCATCTGGTTAGAGGCAAGAGAGAAGGCTGTGCTAGAGCAGATGTCTTTCCATACTGATGATATCTTCCTCTTTTTTTTTTTAATTTATTACTGTTAATAATTTACTATCTTTCTCTGTAGGATATCATACCTCAACCTTTATTAGACCAGTACTTGTCAATGACTGACCCAGCTCGAGCCCAGACTGTTGACACTGAAATAGCAAAACACTGTGCATATAGTCTCCCAGGGGTGGCCTTAACTCTGGGCCGGCAGAACTGGCATTGTTTGAAAGATACGTATGAGACCTTGGCAGCAGATGTACAGGTAAAGCTGCATTTTCAAATAAGCGTTCAGAATTCTAAGCACATTATACAAATTAGAAATATAAGCAAACTATGCTGTAGTTTACAAGAAATAATATCTAAAATTGACAGTGAATACAATTTTATGATAAATCTGGAATGTTGTGCCAGATGCACTTTTTTTTATTTAAGAAAGGAGACTTTATAAATGACACACATGCTATGCAGCGCCTGGCTTTCATGTAATGAATCCTGCTTTTTCTGCCCATACCCTTCAAAATATAAGTGTACTTCTATTTAAGAGTTGCTCAAGAATCTCTATAGTGTTTAATCTAGATTGGTTTTTCTTAACTGTGGACAGTGGAAGGTCCGTCGGACACTAGCTTTTTCCATACATGAGCTGGCTGTTATTCTGGGGGATCAACTAACAGCAGCTGATCTGGTGCCGATCTTCAATGGATTCTTAAAAGATCTGGATGAAGTGCGGATTGGAGTTCTTAAACATCTCTACGACTTCCTTAAGGTAGGAGATTATATAGCAGTATAAATTTCTGCTTTCATTTTCTTAGGCACATACAAACCTCCATTTTTCATGCAGCAATTGCCACAGAAGCTTTTTGTGGATTCAAATATATAATTTAATTGTTTTTTGGGTTTTGGATTTTTTGCAGAGAAGTTAATTTTTTAATTAAAGATCCTCCACTTTCCCCTCTGAAATTCAAACTAAATCCAGCTGAAAATCTGACTTTGTTTGCTTGCTTTTGTAAACTGTTGTAGTGGAATTGTGTTCAGAGCAATCTAAGTGGCCTATGATTAGTTGAGAAATACAAAAAGGTATCAGGTCATCAAGTCCATCCTCAGGGTCCATTGCAAGATTGACCCCTGTGGTAGTGTTTTTAAAAATGTTTTGCCCAGTCTTGTTTAAAATGTCTCCAGATATGGGACTTCCACCATTTCCCTTGGAAAAGTAATATGTTGTGCACTCAAGTGAGGGCAGGCCTGAACTTACGCTCTCTACTGACCTTAGCTCGTAGAAAAAGTGTGACTGGAATAAGTCTTCTAAGGATTTGTGTGAAGGCTATGCAGGCCTAATTTGTTCATGCATTATTTGAGTAACTGCACAGGCAGAAGTGCCTTGGCATATGTAGCTACCCCAACTGGGCGTGCATAACTTTCAGAACCTGGGCTTTAGTTTTCTGGAGAAAAAGCAGATTCCCTGTAAACTGTAATCTGATTTTAAGAGTTCTTTCTAGCAGGAAAATACAAATAAACAGGAGTGACAGGGAGTAAAGAATAGAAGAATAATCCTGAAAGAAGTGAAAAGTGTTTATAAAGCTTCAAACAAAGTTTTGAACTGCTGGATTAATCAGTTGTATTTACTAATCAGTTGTTTGTGGAACGACATTTCCTGTAGTTGCTTCATGCAGACAAAAGGCGCGAGTACCTTTACCAGCTTCAAGAATTTGTCGTGACTGATAACAGCAGGAATTGGAGGTTTCGTTACGAGCTGGCAGAGTAAGTAAAACTTGTTAATGTGTGGTTCCATTATCTTTCATGGTAATGTTCAGAATTGTAACACACCCTAAATGTGAGTAAATGGCAGTAGCTTTCCATTTAAAGGGACAGGGAGATCATTTTTAGGTTAAACTTTGAATTACATTAAGGCCAGAAGATCTTGTACAGTTGCAACAATTTAGGTTACAACATAGTGCCCCACCAATGAGCCTTAGCCCAACCTTTAGGGATCATCTGTTAGACGAGAGGATAGATCAATATCCATGATGGATTTGTGATGTGGACTCTGTCCATTAGGAATTGTACCATCAACTTATTTCATATAGGTCCCTATCTCGCTGAACCGTACTCTGACAGCATTTCTCATTGTTGGCAAATAGTAGGGTTATCTAATTACATGGGAGCAGTGAGTATGAGTAGGGAGGTAATTTTACACCTGTATATAGCATTGGTAGACATTTTAGAATACTGCATAAAGTCTAGTGTCCACAATTTAAAAAGGATACTGAAAATTAGCGTGGGTGCAGAAAAGAGCCACAAAAGTGACTCAAGGGCTGACGAACATGTGTTACAGTGAGAGACTTAGAGTTCAATCTGTTTAAATGATCAAAAAGAAGATTGAGAGGTGACTTGACCCCAGGATAAAAGTATCTTCACAAAGAGAAAATATCAGGTAATAAAGGACCATTTAATCTAGTGGAGAAAGGCATAGCAAGAACAGGTGCCTAGATGCTGAAGCTAAACAAATTCAAATTAGAAATAAGACCCAGGTTTTTAACAGAGTGATTAACCGTTGCAGCAAGCTACGAAGGCAAGTGGTAGATTCTCCCTCTCTCAATGCCTTTGAGTCAAGGCTAGATGCCCTTCTGGAAGATATTATTTATTAATCATGTTTACTATCATAGGGCCAGTCAATGGTCCCTTTTGCAATAGACCTGTATAAATAGAGTCAAATGCAGGTTATTGAGCTTGATACAGAAGTAACTGAGTGAAACTCAATGGCCTATTATATACAGGAAGTCAGACTAGGTTGTCAAAGGTTCCCTTCCAGGTCTTAAAATCTATGAAACTGTGGTAGATTATATTAATGCTCATTCAGTTAGTTGTATGTCAGCGGCAAGAGCCAATGACAGGTATGACCCTATTCAGTTCTGGCGCTTATGTATAAATCAACAAAATGTGTATGGCATTGGTTTTTCCATTTGTACAATTAGTTGACTCATTTTGGTGTTTTCACTTAAGTGGGAGTGGAATGGGATGGAATAGGGACTGGTAATGGTTCTAGTAATGGTGGCTTGTTTCAATACGATTTTAGGATCTAAATGGCTAGCCTGTAGATAGACACATTCCTTGATTGAGGTTTCTAGCTACTTAGACTCTTTTCATAAAGCATTTTAATGCATACAATTAAAATACTTTCCTTCACAGTAATCTTAGTTCAGTATGCTGTTTGGGCTGTTGAGGTTTTAACCCCCATACCATGCTGCTGGTGTAATGTTATCCTTGTATTATAAACCCAGTGATGAAAACTGCAGTGAATGTTGTGTAAGTTCCCTGACATCTAGTGGGAGAACTTTGTAACGTCAGAATTATTTTTTTGCTGTGATTGGCAGAATTTCACCAGCTAATTGTTGTTCTTATGGCTATGATATATGCAGTTTCCCACAGATGATGCAACTTAAGTAGGAGATAATTACATATTCTCTGCGGTAATGCAAATATTTCTCATCTTAACTTCCTAAGAGTATGTGTGGTTGTGTTCTGCAGTTAGGAAGAAATTTCCCATTATAGCATAAAAATTTCAAAATTCCTCAACATTTTTATCTAATAATAAACTATTTTAAAGTCTTAGTGAAGAAGGAATGTGGGGAAAGTAAGATAAGGAATTTGAGAATCCCTAAGTAACTTACTTTGCAGTTTCTGATAATTCCCTTATACACCTGCAATTTATGTCAAGTCTCATCACCTTAGCTGCATTTTTTTGTATTTAATTTTATTGAAATGTAGTAGTTCTGAAACGTGCACTTCATGTATAAATTTTAGTCTGGCTGGGAGACTAAACAGAAGAACAAAATGCCAAAGCTTTGCATAATAAAAAATGATTGTTCTCCCAGATTTTCAACAACTTTGTTCGTGAAACCAAAATAATTTCCCCCCATCTTCAGCAGGAAGGCGATAAAGAAACGAGAGGAATGTTTTGACTCAATGATCCCTTGTGTTTCAGACAGCTGATCCTGATATTAGAACTCTACAACCCCAATGATGTGTATGACTACTTACGGCACATTGCGTTAACTCTCTGTTCGGATAAAGTATCGGAAGTCAGGTGGATCTCCTTCAAACTGGTAAAGCATTTTACTTTTTCTTGCAAAAAAAATTTATGAAAAATGTATTTAAGATCAACACTTTTACTTGAAAAGCTTATTGAAATTATATAGTAACAACAGATACTATGAACACAAATATGTTTCAACTAGACCTGGTCAAAAAATGAAGAGACAATTTTTTATGAAGTATTGTGAAGTAGTTTCTGTGCTCCAAATGGGTTTTTTGTTTTTTAATTTCAGTTGTCAAAAAATGCCTGCAGGGAGGAAAAAAAGACGTGGAAAGGAAGAAAAAAAACCCAAACCCCAAAATGATAAATGAAAAATTTCAGAAAAATCTGTTTTTGAAAAATTTTATTGAAATATTTTTTAAAAATTTACACATTTTAAAATTTTGAAAAAATAGTTTTTTCATTTAAAAAAATCTTGTTCCAAAAAAATTTGGACCAGCTTTAGTTTCAACATCTTCCATGTATGCTCAGTTTTTTCTGGGCACAATATAATTATACATGCACTTTTGCAGAGACAAAAGTGGTGTGGAGCAAGTAAATAAGGAAGTGTTATTTACTCCTCATAACACAAGAATTAGGAGTCTCCAAATGAAATTAATAGGCAGCTGGTTTAAAACAAACAAAGGGAAGTATTTCTTCACACAATGCACAGTCAATCTGTGGAACTCTTTGCCAGAGTATGTTGTGAAGGCCAAGTCTATAACAGGGTTCAAAAAAGAACTAGATAAATTCATGGAGGATAGGTCCATCAATGGCTATTAGCCAGGATGGGCAGGGATGGTGTCCCTAGCCTCTGTTTGCCAGAAGGTGGGAATGAGCAACAGGGAATGGATCACTTGATGATTACCTGTTCTGTTCATTCCCTCTGGGGCACCTGGCATTAGCCACTGTCGAAAGACAGGATACTGGGCTAGGTGGACCTTTAGTCTGACCCAGTATAGCCGTTCTTATGATAAAAGGTGAAGTCCTGGCCCCACCTGAAGTCAGTAACAAAACTCCAATTGACTTCAATGAGGTTGGGATTTCATGCAGACGTTTTCAGGTGCATTTTTGCAAAGGCAAAATCAGAGCTTTCCTGAGCAACATGGTTTAAAAAATTCTCACCCATAGTCTATTACATTAGACTTCTGTTTTTTAAATTGTGGCTCAATAAAAGTTTACAGAATGGACTGCACATTGGGTATATTGACTGAATATTAATTTTACAAATCTATAAGCCTGCTAATTACATGGTTAACCAACAGAACTATTTTTTAGACATATTTCAAGATAAAGGGGGAATTTTAATGTGTGTACCCAGGTCTTCATGGACTTTTTTTTTTTTTTTTTTTTAACTTACTGATAAGAATATATATGTATAAAAGAGATTAAGGAAAACATAGTTCTTTTTTTAAGTAAGGCTAACTCGTATGTACAGAATGACGGGAATACAAACTGAAATCCTGACTACTTACTATAATCTGATGTGCTCTAGTCCTGATAGTATGTAATGCTGCACATCGTGTGGTGGTAAAGTATTAGACTGCACTTGGAAGATGTGGCTGCTTTGAAGGGAAAGCTGAACTCTGAATTTCCCTCCTTTCTTCCTTTGTGTCATAGTGTTAATGGTAATTTTCTTTGTGAATGATCCGCATATGAGTAACTGCTATTTTCTTTGTCTTCCTCAAAACTAAGATTCTCATACGTAATCATAACTATTCAGGAGATAGCAACACGGTTCTCTTGAATTTATTTCTAATGACTTCTTTGAGCCCATTTTGTGTCAGACCTTTCCTGTTAAATATATATGCCTTCTGTAGAGAAGGACATGCTAGTAATCTGATACATGAAAAAGTAGACAAATGATCTTACTGTTCACAGTTCTTTCCTGTAAGTTGGTTTTATGCTGCAATATAGTTTTGTTTAATAGTGTTTAGTAAGTAGAGAACTTGTCTATATGCTGGCACCACAGACATCACAGGATCTGCTCTTTGCTGCTTTGGTCCTCCACAGAAAGGTGGTGGTGGTGTTATTATTATTATTTATTATTAGCAAGGATATCATGGAGAACACCCCAAAGTGGTGTTGTAACATTTCTTTTAAAACCAGTGTTTTAGTGAGACTATAGCAAAGTAAACAGTTGGGTCAGTAAAGAAGCTTAAAAACGGCCTTTTCTCTCAACCTTTGCGTTTCCGAGCTGTGCTAAGTAAAGCTTTTGTCAAAACAAACAACACTATAGTTTAATGATTCCTATAGTTCTGCAGAGGTTTTGGCGTTCCTAAGTAGTAGTCTTCAAGTAAAGTGATGCCACTTAAATGCTAGTCTTCACAGTCTAAATCTCCCCTCTGATCTTTTCACAGGTTGTGGCAATACTACAGAAGTTCTATGCAAATAATGCAAATGCGTTGGGATTAAATTTCATTAATGAGCTTGTAGCAAGGTTCCGTCATTGTTCCAAGTGGATTGGAAGACAAGCTTTTGCCTTCATTTGTCAGGTTAGATTGCCTTTTTACATGTATGGGTGTATCAACAAATAATTGAGAGGATTCATAATGCTGGCAGGAATTGCTTTCAGAATTGGTAGAGAAATATAGAGCCATTTACCTCCAGAGTATTTAAGAACTATTCCAAATCAGTAACGAGTGAAAGTCATTATCTTCTCTGGGTGGTTCAGTGGCTTATGTGAACTGAAGTGTCCAAATCACAAAAGCAAACCTCAGAAGTAGCACCCTCCCTTGTCAGCACTCTTGGCAACAAAGCAAAATATAGATGAGACTGAAAACAAGCTGTGTTTCGTGAAATCCACCTATAGTACTGGCAGGAGCATATCGTCCGGCTTTGACAGGGACTATACAGTTCACATGTGCTCTTTGAATTAGTGGTGGTTGCCGGGTGCCCAGAGTTGGTGAAGAACAGGTATGTCTCTAAACTTGTTTGCTACCAAGAGGAGGCGGAAGGGAAGTGGTCATTGACTGCCCTACTCTTCAGTTTGGTGGTCAATACTAGCCCCTGAAAAGGCCATACATCATTTCTTTTAGCCAGGGAAATGATTCGTATTAGTAGTTAGTTGTAAGGCAGAGGGAAGAGGAGAGGCAAAGTCAAGGTGTTAATGATTCCCAGAATGAAGATTGAAAGTAAGTCCACTGCCTTCATTGGACCAACTTCAAATGAATCCTGACATCCTAAATTCATATCTAGACAGGGTAGAAGGACCAAATGATACTTATCCTTGAGTGGGTCAATCAGATACTTTGATAGCGGTGTCCTTCCAGAAACTTGCAGGGGAAGGAAGGGCCATTAAAAGAAAAAAATATATACAAGTAACCTCCCCTTTGTTGAAAATGTAAATTTAGGCTGCTTGTGTGGAACAATATACATTTGAGAGTTAGGAATACATCTGAAATAGTCAGCCAGACAACTAACATTTTTTAAATACAAGCTAAACTTGAGGCAAGTTGGAAAAGAGTGGGAGATAATTGTTTTTGTTAAAGATACACTGATTATTCACCTTGCTTTATCTTATGTTCTGCTCTTACCTCCACAGGCTGTAGTAGAAGAAGAGTGTATGCCTGTTGACCATTTTGTCGAACACTTACTTCCCAGTCTTTTAAGTCTTGCTTCTGATCCTGTGCCAAACGTAAGGGTTCTGTTAGCCAAGGCTCTAAGGCAAACACTGTTGGAGAAAGGTACGCTAAACTGATTCCTTTGATGTAAGAACTAATTTCTCATTAATTCCATCGTCTCTGTAACACCGTGGCTTTTCACAAATTGGCTTGCTCAACTGATAAAAAGAATGTTCAGATTTACTATATAACAAAGGCAGAAACTAGGACATGATAATTTTGGGATCCTACATTTAAATTCGATTTGTGCAGTGCTTGATATCAGTTAGTTTGCAAAAAGAACACAGGCTTGCTTTTCCTTTCAAAAGGTTTTTTTTTCTGCTAGCATTAAAAGGCTACTGTATACAGGGCCGGCGCTTCCACTAGGCGACCCTAGGCTGTCGCCTAGGGCGGCAGGATTTGGGGGGCGGCATTTTGCTGCCCTCGGCAGAAATTCGGCGGCGGGGGGTTCTTCCACTCCGTGTCTTCGGCGGAAATTCGGTGGCGGGTCCTTCACTCGCTTTGGGACCCGCCGCCGAATGCTCAGAGGAGGAGCGCTGCCGCCTAGGGCGGCAAAAACCCTGGCACCGCTCCTGACTGTATATCCTCTGTAGTTTGTCACCCTTTTGTGATTTTGACATACATAATACAACAGATGTGATATTCTATTCAGTGGAGGGCAGTTGAATACCTATTTATAGTGGGAAAGTCACATAGCATGTTATATAAATTATTTAAGGCAGGAGTTTTCAAATTTCATTGCACCGCAACCCCCTTTTGACAACAAAAAATTACTGTATGACTGTATGCAGGAGGGGGAACCGAAGCCTGAGCCCGCCTGAGTCTCACTGCCCGGGGGGCGGGACAAAGCCAAAGCCTGAGCCCCACCACCCCAGGCGGGAAAGGGGTTAAAGCCGAAGCCCAAAGGCTTCAGCCCCAGCCAGGGGCCCTGTAACCTGAGCCCTGCCGCCCAGGGCTGTATCCCTTGGGCTTCGGCCCTGGGCAATGGGGCTTGGGCTTTGGCCCCGAGCCCCTGCAAGTCTAAGCCAGCCCTGGCGACACCATTAAAATGAGAAGTTTTGAGAAGTGCTGACTGAAGGCTAAGAGGAGATATCAGTGAATTATAGGTCCAAAGAGGAGATGCTTTTGAGAAATTCAGAGGTTCAAAATAAATGAAAGTAATTGTAATCGGATGTTTAAAAAGTTCTGCACAAACTCAGTTTGCTATATTCATCAACTATTTCTCAGTTCTAGAGAATGAATAGTATAACAGCCTTGCTTGCAAATATGGTCACTCTTCCACTCATAGGCATATTCCTGTATTAGTGTTTCTCAAAACATTCAGGCCACCTCTGATACATCTCTTTTTATACAGGGAGTCTCCCTTCCCCACTCCTCACCGGAATCAGTTATGTCAATGGGAGTATTTTGATAGTACTTTAAGAAAAAATGAACATGGCAGCCTGCCAATTTTCCTTTCTTACTGGTACGTTTCCACTTGGGGGCCAGCAAAAGTAAAGAACCACTTATAGAAATATTGAGTATTCACCACAGAGCTCTCCCTTTGCCAAGTCCTAAGTGAAAGAAATTAAGAAAGGAAAAACACAGCCTTCTTTCTCAACTTCCGTGGGCTTGCTTTAGCTTCCCCAGGGAGGCTAGCCTCAAAGTTAGACACACTTCTCTGGATGAAGGAAGACGCTAACACTAATCTCGCCATGTCTTTTGTGTGATCTGTAACTTTAAATTAATTAAAAAAAAATTTTTAAAAAGCAAAGCTTCATTCTCTCTCTTCTGGCATAGGGTAAGAATAATTTTGTGATTGTGCCTGTACAGTACAGCACAGCTTTGAATAAAACTCTTTTTTCCCCCCTCCCTCTTTCTCCCCCTACTTGTTCTAGCTTATTTTAAAAGTGTTGGCAACCCTCATCTAGAAGCTGTGGAAGAAACTGTTCTAGCTTTACAGTCTGACAGAGACCAAGATGTGTCTTTTTTTGCCACTGTAAAACCAAAACTGAACAATATGGACATGACTTCCCTTGAAAAACAAAACTAAACTGTTCATCTACTACAAACCCCGAACATCAAAATGGTGACACACTTCATGTTCTTGGAGGAACATGGAACCAAGCAATTTATTGCCTCCCTGGTCTGAGAGAAAAGGGCTTGTTGAAAATGCCATTATCTTCATTCAGTGACCGCTTTTATATCTACAGCTGTTCTTCAGATGGGATGACTACATTCATAATTTTGTTCTTTTCCTTGTAAACATGGCTTGTAACTCATCTCTACAAAAGGTCCAGTATTGTAAATACCCTCTTACGAAGTTGCACACATACAGCATTTCAGTATCATCCGTTACAGTAATATATTTTTAAATACTGTATTTTAAAAAAATCCAGTAATAAAGCGGTTTGCTAGAAACCCCTCTAAGCTTGTAAGTTTAAAAACCTGAAGTTAGTAAGCTTAAGTGTAGCTGCTTTCCCCCATTTTATTGTGGTTTTTATATTTTTTTGTTTATAGTATTGCATTTTATTATTTACCTGAAAAAATGTACATATGTGAATAGCTCCTGAAACTTGGCAAAAGAATTGAAAAATTTTTAATCCTACACCAGTGAGAATCACATAAGCCATTTTACGTTATACAACACAGGTGGCTTGTTGGAACTAAAGCATGGCTTAACTTCTACTTTTAACATACATGTGATACATTTAAAATCAGGGCTTGACTTTCTCTGTATATTGGGGCAGTTTTTATTACTTTGTCTTTTGTAAACTGTATTATTATTAACATTTTTTCTCACTTCCTGCCGTTAATCCTTGGTCTCCTTTTCTCACTGCTAGTACTGATGGGTGTGTAATATACATGGACTGTTAACTCCCCAACTGGAAATTGCTAATTCTGCCCTAGCAAAGTTCATTTCATTCAAGGAACTTGAAGGTCACAGATTACATGAAGTCTCCGCAATAGGAAGTTAACCTCTATAAATGCTCTGCAAAGTGTGTAAGTAGGGATGCACGTGTATGGGAGTGCATCACATACACCTGTGACTTGAAAAACACTGTATCTGGTTCAGCGTTCAGATCCCTGGGAATCTGTCTCTCTGTACTGTAATGACAGAGAAAGGTTCTTATGTTGTGGTCTCTGTACATTTCCATATAGTGCAGATTTCCAGAGTACAAAAGTTGACCTATTTTACTTTGCAGATTCGGTTTGTAGTATTGTAGCTGTTGTCATGATTCTTTGGATTGGATGTAAACAAAAAATGAAATGGGGGAAAACCCAAGATTACATTAACTTGACAGGATATTGGATTCTTCTCATATCTAAACGGGAACTTCAGTAGAAAAAAGTAGGATGAAATCCTCTTCACTAAACCTGGCAGTTTGCAAAATAGTCACTTATGCTAAAGAACTGATTATCTTTGTTGGGCCCTGCTTATTTCAGCTCTGCCTTCCCCTCTGTACAAAGACTTGACCTAACATAGGACCTGATCCAAAACCTATTGAAGACAATGGGCTTTGAATCAGAACCACAGCCTTGCAGTATATATACTGCATTATGGGGAAATGGATCTCATTTAATGGCAAGTAAATTACTGTGTTCAACATTTGCCTAATGTGTAAACAGACCAGTGAAAGAATAGTTCCTTCCACTTTATTTCATTGTTATAATATGAATTACTTATATTGTCTGGAAGTAAAAAATACTACTCTCTTAAAACGGGATTGTCAGCCTCATAGCAAGTAGCTTTCCCAGCCTGATTTGTGTGGGGTTTTTTTTTCTTTCTTTCTTTTTTTTGAGTGTTTAATTTTGTATAAATATTTACCAAACTAGTTTTGCATTACAATGTATAGTATTTGTAATAAATTGTTTGCTTGCAAGACCCTAAGATGCTTTTAGAAACTATAGGCAGAAATATATTGTTGCTATTTCAGACAACAGTTTAAAATCTGTAAATTCCACAACTTCCACCCTTAATTTTTTTATATAATTTAAAACAAATGCCTCTTCAATGCAAACCAATTTTTTATGACTGCAATTTCTCAGCAAAAAAAAAAATGCAAGTTAGTTTTTTTGTAGTTTTAATATCTTTTTCTAATGCTAACATTATACTAATATTTTTTAAACAATTCAAATTTTCTAAGATTGTTCTGACCAGGTTTTATTTTTGTTGACTATTAACAGGTCGTTAAATTTCTCAGCACTGATCATAATGTTTTTAAGTGTACATAGATATGTTTTAAATGTACTGTATATAAACTGGTTACTTTGAACATTAATACAACCCAGCTTTCTGCTTCCAAAAAGTTACCTTGTCCTGCAATAACTTACTGGAAAATACAAACTTCTGTATGTTTGTGAAAGTTGGGATAGTTTTTCATGATGGTATTCTTAGAATCACTTGTAAGCCACCAACTAAGGTCACTAAACATTCAAAACAAAAATTTGTGTTAAATCTTTTTTTGGCACCTTTCTAACTCCAGAAATTCACGTCCATTTTAAATGATGTGATTTTGGGAGGTTTTTTAGTAGAGCTTTTAAAAATTCGTTAAAACTCTATAGTTGCATGCACTAGAGGGGAAAACATAGATCTTCCTTTAACTTCAGACAACATGCAGTTCTATTAAACTGGCTCACTTTTTCCAAGGTGTGCATTTTGTTTTCATTTTATACTGGAAATATGACTTCAGCATGACTAAAGACTGCACTTTACCACTCACACTAGACAAATGGTTGCAATGAAGATTAAAGCTGTGTATTCACATGCAATTCTCTGGGCTGTTTAAATTATGCAAAAACTGTATTTGAAAGCCAAATGGAGCAAAGTGAGGTAGTCAATCCACTTTTGCAAAAGCAGCAAGAATATCACTCTAAAACACTTTTGGCTAAGGGACATGAGAATAACATTAGTGGTGCAATATTGCTTGGATGCTGTAGAAAATTATCAGGCACTTGTAATCCAAAGCATGTTAGTCATGTTGCTTAGAATTCAAACTCCCTGTATCCGCTATATAGGATACACACTTGGCAACTAACAGGATTCTGCCCTAGTGGCAGCTGTCATCTATAAACAGTGTTGTTTAGAGTCCAAATAAGTGGAGACACTCTGGAAGTGCCACTGATTTGCCAGAATATAGAATCTATGTAACTTTCTATTGTATTTATCTCAATAAATCTCATGACTGTTTTATGAAATGTCTTTGTGGTAATTGACTCGTGTTATAAATAGCATATGCAACTTGTTTTCTTCACCTGCTTCAAATACAAATACAGTACTAGGGGTTATAAAGTGGTAATTATGTGGTTAAAAATAAACCACGGACGGCTATAGATTAACAAGGAAAACAGGAATATAAAATACCCCAGTGCATACGTGCAATGTGGCAGAGTTAATGTTGCTGTCGGAGCCTTAATAATAGAATTTCCTCACTTTTCTGTGCTTGATTACTTAATGTTGCATCAGCGCTAAGTTTTCCATATAAGGGAGTGGGGGAGGAAAGAGGATGTCACAGGGGCCATTCACTGCTGGGGCACCTCCTCCTGGCCCATCTGGGATTTAGCTCCTTCCAGGTGCTGCCCCCTCCTCTGGTGGTCTCTCCACCCAGCTTCTTCTCTCACCCTGCAGCCCCTCTTGCTCCAGGAACTGCAGCTTCCTCTTCGGGACTTGGCCTTCTGGCCAGGTCACTGTGTGTGTTTCCCTCTTCCGGGGTATTAAAGTTTTTCCTCAGTGCCACTCAGGCAGTCTTCCCATTCATTTCCCCATGGTGCAACTTCCTCCATGGCTGGCAGGGGAACCTGGGCCTGCCCTCTACTCTGGGTTCCAACTCAGGGACCCTCTAATGAGCAGCCAAGGTCTGTTCTTTCCTGGATCTTCCTACCTTTCCCTGAGCCTTCCCCTACCTTTCTGCCCCCCCATTTGCCTGCCCAAACTCCCTCCTCCCAGGGAGTAACTGTAGGCTACTTGCCTCTGTAGTCCCAAACACATCTCCCTCCTTCCAGGGAGTGACTGCAGACTATTTCCCCCACAACCCCTCAGCTGCTCTCAGCTATTGGGTTTGATTCAGGCCCTTCTTGTTTCACCCCACCTGAGCCTCATCCTGCTTCCTGGCTCCTCCTCCAGGTGCAGCCTGGGGAGTTAATTGGTCCATTAGCCACCTTAACCCTCCCAGGCCTTGTGGGGGTGGACACCCCATCACAGGGGGGATGCTGGTTATTAATTGTCACCCATCTCGGTGCGGCTCTCTGCCTCTCAAGGTCTGTCATCCTTCCTCTTCTTTTTCACCTCCCCTAGATCCCTGTGCCTTCCCATAAATGAGTTGTGAAGGTCTCCCATACTTCTCCCCAGCTGTTACTTACATCTCCTGACCCCAACCTCCTCTGTACCTGTCTCCCCTTCTCAAGGTGCTCTCCTGCACTCCTTCCCCAGCTCTTCCCTGTTTTCCCTCTCTTGGGTTCCTCACCTAATGTGCTCCTATGCCCAGTCTCAAGATCCCCCTGTGTCTATTCCCCACTCCTGCCTTCACCAAAGAGCAACTCTTCTTCGCGCTCCTCCGTCAGACTCCTCCACATTATCATAAACGAGAACTCTCGACCTATCGCCTCCACCCTCGATCTGGCTTCTGTGAAGGAGGAAACGAAGCTGCTGCTGGTGAGCAGGCTGGTGGCTGTGACTCCTCCCCAGCTGTCTCAACTGCTGCCCTTTGAGGCTCTGGCCTTTGTTCCCCTCTGAGCAGGAAGGACCCCAGTCCTGCAGAGCAGAGACTTAGGGCTTGTCTACACTGGCAAGTTTCTGCGCTGTAAAGCAGCTTTTTGCACTCAAACTGCAGAGGTGTCCACACTGCCAAGCCACTTTGTGCACAGAAACTCCTCAGCTGCAGCGCTGCAAAAAACCCCACCTTGACGAGAGTCGCAAGGCTATTTGCGCAGAGGCTCCAGCGCTCTATTCCCAGTGTAGACACTTGATTGCTTTCTGCGCTGTAATTGGCCTCCAGAGCTGTCCCATAATGCCTCAAGTGACCACTCTGCTCATTGTTTTGCACTTGGCTGCCCTGGAGACATGCGCCCCTCCCCTTTCAAAGCACCGTTGCTGATAGCCCTAGTGTGCTGTGCTGATCTGCTCCGGGACACAAAGCAAACCATTAATGTGGAATGCTTGTGCTGTTGAACACAGAGGGTGTGTGTGTGTGTGAGAGAGACAGAGAGAGAGCAGTTGCTGTGCCGAGAGCCCAGCGAGGGAGGTGGGGGCTGATGGTGAGGTTCCCCCTGCCACTGGTTGCTTCCTGCCGCTGCCTGAACATGCTTGACACACTCTGTCCCCCAAAACACACTCTCTCTCCCCCCATACGTGCACACTCTCCCTGTCACACACTTTCCCCCACCCCCCACTTCAGTTGAAAAGCAGCTGGCAATGTCGTAGGATGCCCATGGGCCAATGGGATTGGGAAACCTGCATCATGTGATGCTGTGCCTGCCCCATGAGGCATTGCAAACCCTTCCCAAAGCACCCTGCGGCCAGTTGCACCGTGGGATAGCTACCACAATGCACTGCTGTCTTTGCCGTTGCAAGAGCTGCTAATGTGGATGCGCTCCAGCGTCACAAGGAGCACAGTGTGGACACGCAACAGCGGTTTAATTCCAGTGGTTTAATAAAAGTGGTATGACTTGTGGCGCAGAAACTTGCCAGTGTAGACATACCCTTAGATGCAGCCGTCACCCTGCTCCCCAGAGAGCATCTTAGTACAGAAAGAAGGAAACGAGTTGGCTGAGTTACTGCTCCCAGCAGGCTCGCTCCCTCTCCCCTTCCCTGGCTGCCCTCCAGCCAACTAAAAGCTCTTGTCATCCTCGGTGAAAGTTGGAGGGGGGGGGTGAGACTGAGCAAACAGGCCCCCCTTGAATCACACTGCATGTGCCCTGATGGAACATATGTTCAGAGGAACTATGATGACACACCCATGCCACTGTGATTGCAACACGACATCATACTTAAGCTGCCTAGCTAGCTATTATGTCACATGTATGGTGCACATCTGAGCCACGTCCTTCATGCTGCCCAGATGTGTTATGACATGCTAATGCTGCCCAGGTAACTTCACCTGGAGAGTGTTTAATAGCAGCGGCCCATTGGCAGGAGGAGGGAGTGGCCACCACCAGGTCCAACCCCAACCCTTAGGTGGTACTATGTTTTGGTTCAACCCCCGCTCCAAGCGGGGAAAGAGCCATGAAGTGGTCCCGAGCAGCAGCTTGCCCCACCGGCTCTTCAGCATCACACTCCGCCTGGCTGAAACTAGTGAGACTTTCCCGTTAGCCGGGTGCTACAGAGACTTGACTGTGTTGAAGCTGAAGCACCATCTGGAGCTGCTGACTGGCATCCCCTTGAATTTCCAACGCCTCCAGTACCTGGATGAAGGTGGGGACTTTTAACATCCTGGGGGTTAACAGTCTGGGTTCCTTGCCACATCTGGTGTCCCCAGTACCTGCTTTAAGGTCAGGGGTCACCCCTGTCAATTCCAGTGACATTAGTACCTGGATGAAGATCCGAGACCTTCTTTCCTTTTTCCTACTCCATTCCTGGAACCCATCTCTTGCTTCAATCCTTAGCATTCTCTCCTCCAGCCCTGGGAAACCCCACTCACCCATAGCTGCTTGGGAGCTTTCCCTAATGGATGCCAGGGCTGAGCTCTCAATTTTGGCAGAATTTAACCTTTCACTATTTTTTTTTTTTAATTGCCTAGTGCTCAGGGCCGGCTCCAGGCACCAGCCGAGCAAGCTGGTGCTTGGGGCGGCAGATTGAA